TTAAGCATTGCTGTGGACTTGGAACAACCAGTTTTGTTTTGTTTTTCTATTAAAAAAGTAGATTTTGAGAGTGAAAACTTGAAAAACTGGGAAATATGGAAACCTGGGAAAACAACATCTTAAGTTTTTCTGTTTTAATCAAATACATAATTTGAAAAACAAACATTGTGGCAATTCATATCTTGCAGTAGAACTGTAAATAAGACTTTAATCTCAAGAGAAGTCCTCTGTAGCTCAATTGGTAGAGCATGGCGCTTGCAATGCCAGGGTAGTGGGTTCGATCCCCGGGACCACCCATACGTAAAAATCTATGCACACATGACTGTAAGTCACTTTGGATAAAAGCGTCTGCTAAATGTCATATTTATATTATTATAGAAGACAGGTTAAATGTTAAAGGTTTGTTCTCTTAGTTGTTATCTTAGTCCTGATCATATACAGATCATAAACACTCCTTTACTTTTTCCACATTTTGTTGTGTTACAGCCTGAATTAAAAATGTATTAAATTGAGTTATACCATGGCATTTTTGAATACTCATTTCTGATTATAACGCACTGTATATCAGCACGGTAGAATACAATGGCTATAGTTCATTGTTTGAGCTGCTTTTGAAAGCAAAAGTCGAATTGAAAACGTTGGCATTTTTTAATTAGATTTTCATAATAGCAAGCTAGGACTGATGGTTTAGTTAGCTAAACTAGCAAGTCTGTTTGGTTACCAAGGCAACTACTGTAGCAATCTAGTAAACTTGCTTGCTACTTCAGTGAATGTTGAACACATATCGGCAAATGTGTTAAATTATTACATTTACATTTACGTCATTTAGCAGACGCTCTTATCCAGAGCGACTTAATTATAGCCATGGTATAAAAAGGATAATCAACTCGGGGCTCTATGCGTTCTCTGGGAAGTAATGCTAGCGCGTTGTGGAACACACCTTCCACTGCAATATTTTTTTCTTCCATAGAACGCATAGCCCCTCATTGATTATCCCTTACATAAAGCTGAGATGTCTTGCGTCAGTAAGTATTCAACCCCTTTGTTATGGCAAGCCTAAATAAGTTCAGGAGTAAATGTGTGCTTAACAAGTCACATAATAAGTTGCATGGACTCACTCTGCGTGCAATAATCGTTTTAAAAATATTTTTTATATGACTAACTCTTCTATGTACCCCACACATACAATTATCTGTAAGGTACCTCAGTCGAGCAGTGAATTTCAAACACAGATTCAGCCACAAAGACAAGGGAGTCTTTTCAATGCCTCACAAAGAAGGGCACCAATTGGTAGAAAAAACAAAAAAAAACAGACACTGAATATCCCTTTGAGCATGGTGAAGTTATTAATTAGGCTTTGGATGGTGTATCAATACACCCAGTCACTACAAAGATACAGGCGTCCTTCCTAACTCAGTTGCCGGATAGGAAGGAAACTGCTCCGGGAATTCACCATGAGGCCAATGGTGATTTAAAAAAAGTTAGTTTAATTGTTGTTATAGGAGAAAACTGAGGATGGATCAACAACATTGTAGTTACTCCACAATACTAACTTAAATGACAGAGTGAAAAGAATGAAGCCTATAAAAAAATATTCCAAAACATGCATCCTGTTTGCAACAAGGCCCTAAAGTATTACTGCAAAAGATGTGGCAAAGAAATTATTTTTTTGTCTTGAATACAAAGCGTTATGTTTGAGGCAAATCCAACAACACATCACTGAGTACCTCTCCCTATTTTCAAGCATGGTTGTTGCTGCATCATTTAACAGATACAGTGTATTCACAGTGTATTCAGACCCCTTTTACTTTTTCCACATTTTGTTACATTACAGGCTTATTCGAAAATTGATGAAATTGTTTTTTTCCCCTCATCAATCTACACACAGTACCCCATAATGACAAAGCAAAAACTGGTTTTTAGATTTTTTTTGCTCATTTATATTTGGGAAAAAAACTGAAAATATGATATTTACGTAAGTATTCAGACCCTTTACTCAGTACTTTGTTGAAGCACCTTTGGTAGCGATTACATCCTCGAGTCTTCTTGGGTATGACGCTACAAGCTTGGCACACCTGTATTTGGGGAGTTTCTTCCATTCTTCTCTGCAGATCCTCTCATGCTATGTCAGGTTGAATGGGGAGCATTGCTGCACAGCTATTTTCAGGTTTCTCCAGAGATGTTAGATCGGGTTCAAGTCCGGGCTCTGGCTGTGCCACTCAAGGACATTCAGAGACTTGTCCCGAAGCCACTCCTGTTTTGTCTTGGCTGTGTGCTTAGGGTCGTTGTCATGTTGGAAGGTAAACCTTCGCCCTAGTCTGAGGTCCTCAGCGCTCTGGAGCAGGTTTTCATCAAGGATCTCTCTGTGCTTGGCTTCGTTCATCTTTCCGTTGATCCTGTCTCCCAGTCCCTACCGCTGAAAAACATCCCCACAGCATGATGCTGCCACCACCATGCTTCACCGTAGGGATGGTGCCAGGTTTACTCCAGACGTGACGCTTGGCATTCAGGCCAAAGAGTTCAATCTTGGTTTCATCAGACCAAATAATCTTGTTTCTCATGGTCTCAGAGTCCTTTAGGTGTCTTTTGGCAAATTCCAAGCAGACTGTCATGTGCCTTTTACTGAGGAGTGGCTTCCATCTGACCACTCTACCATAAAGGCCTGATTGGTGGAGTGCTGCAGAGACGGTTGTCCTTCTGGAAGGTTCTCCCATCTCCCCAGAGGAACTCTGGAGCTCTGTCAGAGTGACCATCGGGTTCTTGGTCACCTCCCGGACCAAGCCCCTTCTCCCCCGACTGCTCAGTTTGGCCTGGCGGCCAGCTCTAGGAAGAGTATTGGTGGTTCCAAACTTCTTCCATTTAAGAATGATGGAGGTCACTTTCTTGGGGATCTTCAATGCTGCAGAAATGTTTTGGTACCATTCCCCAGATCTGTGCCTCGACACAATCCTATCTCGGAGCTCCATGGACAATTCCTTTGACCTCATGGCTTGGTTTTTGCTCTGACATGCACTGTCAACTGTGGGACCTTTATATAGACAGGTGTGTGCCTTTCCAAATCATGTCCAATCAATTGAATTTACCACAGGTGGACTCCAAGTTGTATAAACATCTCAAGGATGATCAATGGAAACAGAATGCACCTGAGCTCAATTTCGATTCTCATAGCAAAGGGTCTGAATGCTTATGTAAATAAGGTATTTCAGTTTTTTATTTTTTTATATATTTACATTTTTTGTTTGAGAACCGTTTTCGCTTTGTCTTTATAGGGTATTGTGTGTAGATTGATGAGGAAAAAAATGTATTTAATAATTTTTATAATAAGGCTGTAACGTAACAAAATGTGGAAAAAGTCAAGGGGTCTGAATACTTTCCGAATGCATTGTATTGTCCGTGTGAAATCTCAATCTGAACTCCATTCTGTAATGTTGGCCCTATCAGGGAACACAGTGTTTTGGGTTTAGTGTGTAGGCCTAGTTGATAAGGCTTGTTTGGCTGAAGGCCTATCTTACCAACATGTTGCAGTGAAGATACTGTACTCTCTGGCCTTCAGAAAAATAGTCTAGTTCTGTCCTGTTTGTGTTCGTTGGCTTTCCCCGAGACTGTAGAGAACCAGCATTGATTAGTTTCAGTATTCCATGCCTTTTTTTTTGTCTTTGGTCTGCCAGAGAGTAGGCTATTTTCATTCTTATCTGATGCATTAGGACTCTTGTCTGAGAACTAATGCCCAAAATGTCCTTTTTGGTCTTTCCTCCTGTCCCTGGCTGCCCTTACCATTTAATCAGTATGTCTTCCCTATCAGCGCTTTGATTTATCTGCTAATGGTTTGCTGATTGCAAACCCAAAACTTTGTTGTTACTGTTTCCTCCAACACAGAGCCTAGTTGGTATTGTGATTCCGCAGTCTCTTTTTAGAAATGAGCTGTTCAAGAGGAAGACCTGTCTCCTTCATGATTTAGCCTGTGAAAGCCAGCGATGAGGAGAAATCGCTAGTTCCTAATGAGGATGTTGTCTAGAGGGATGAGATGCTGTTACTATGAACCTTACCTTGTGTCAGCAGTTTTGATGCAGTACGCACAGTGCTGCTTATCAGATAAGTTACGGATCTTTGTATCAGGCCTGTGGAGAGAAATTAAAAACTAGGCTGTGTTATCATGATGAAGAGTCATGTTTGAACCATCAAAGAAGCATTATTTGGGGACATACATTTTCACATCGGCTAGTTTGTATTCATGTAAAAATGATGCAGTGAGTAGAGATTTTTTTTTTATTAACTTAAAACAGATGTTACACACACACACACAAGCACACAATTTTATTGTTAAGAATGTTATTTATCCTAGTGATATCATCAGTATTCTGGTATGATACTTATTTGGGCTATGATGTGAAGGCTGGACTTTTCTGGACTTAAAAAAAAAAATCTGATATACCTAGAATGCCAACTATGTGACCTTACATATTCTCATTTTGACATAGTTTCTCTTTATCAGTTTCAGGTCTTGTTATTCAACGTTGGAGGAGAATTTGGAGGCCTTTCGCTATTCGACAGACCCAACCGGGCACAACCAGCCCATGATGCCACTCTGCAGGACTGTGACCAGCCATGCCCTCCTCCCCAGCATTTCCCAGAAGGGGCTCCCCTCCCCCAACACTTTGCGCACATAGGTCAGAAATAAAAATACACCATACAAGAGGAACGATGGCAAGGACTTGACTATGGCACACCAGCAAGACAAAGATGAAGTCCCCCTACATCTGATACCAAAAGGAAAACCAAGATCAAGTAGATCCACTCAGATGACATTTTCTAAGGACAAAACAAGTCGATTTAACAATTCTGTTGGTTTAGCGGCCACACAACAATTCTGTTGGTTTAGCGGCCACACTATTTCACCGTGTTGACGAGGTTGCACCATGGCTGCTGATCCCTGTGGACTACTAGAGACTCCGGCACAGCGCTGAGCTAAGCCCAGTGATAACAGTGATAGCTAACCAATGATGCAGCGTAACGGTGGCGGGGTGGGGGCCGGCGGCCAGCCGTGGCTGCTGCGGCGCGTGCGCCTCACCTGGCTCAGCTTCATGCTCTTCTTCATCCTGGTTTTCTTCCCACTCATCGCACACTACTACCTCACCACCATCGACGAGGCGGGTGGCCCCGACAAGCGCATCTTCGGCCCGCGGCCCGGCGGCGAACTGTGCGAAGCCAAGCACGTGCAGGACCTGTGCCGCATCCGTGAGTCAGTCAGCGAGGAGCTGCTGCAGCTGGAGGCCAAGCGGCAGGAGCTGAACGGGGAGATCTCCCGGCTCAACCTGCGCATCGAGGCGTGCAAGCGGAGCATCGACAGCGCCAAGCAGGACCTGCTGCAGCTCAAGAATGTCATCAGCCAGACGGAGCACTCATACAAGGAGCTGATGGCCCAGAACCAGCCCAAGCTCTCTTTGCCCGTGAGGTTATTACCCGACAAGGACGACCCGGGCCTGCCTCCGCCTAAGTCTGCCCGTGCCTGCCGCCTGCGCTCCTGCTTTGACTACGCCCGCTGCCCGTTGACCTCTGGCTTCCCTGTGTACGTCTATGACCCGGCATCCTACCCCTGGGGTGAGTCCCTGGACCCGTTAGTCAAGCAGGCCTTCGCCGCCTCGGTAAAGAGCAGCGTCTACGTGACGGACAACCCCAGCATCGCTTGTCTGTATGTGGTGCTGGTTGGGGAGCTGCAGGAGACTCCCTCCTCCCCCCTCCCGGCTCCCTCTGAGCTGGAGAAGCAGCTGAAAGCTCTGCCCTACTGGAGGTCTGACGGACACAACCACCTCCTGGTCCATCTTTCCAGGAAATCCATGACGCAGAACTTCCTGTACAATGTGAGCACGGGCCGAGCGGCGATGGCCCAGTCCACCTTCCTGGAGCAGCAGTACCGTGAGGGCTTCGACTTGGTGGTGTCCCCGCTGGTCCATGCCCTCTCTGAGCCCAACTTCCTTGAGGTGCCACCCCAGGTGCCTGTCAAGAGGAAGTACCTGTTCACCTTTCAGGGCGAGAGGGTGGAGTCTCTGAAAAGCAGCCTGCAGGAGGGGCCGCCTCAGTCCTTTGAGGAGGAGATGGAGGGAGACGCGCCAGCCGACTACGACGACCGCATCATCGGCACGCTCAAGGCGGTGCAGGACAGCCACCTGGACAAGGTGCTGGTGGAGTTCACCTGTAAGACCCCGCGGCCTAGCCTGCCTACTGAGTGGGCTCTGTGTGGAGAGAGGGAGGAGCGGCTGGAGGTCCTCAAGGCCTCCACCTTCGCCCTGGTCATCTCCCCCGGGGACTGTCAGCTGGTGGCCTCGGCAGGCAGCAGCATGCGGCTGTTTGAGGCCCTAGAGGTGGGGGCCATCCCTGTGGTGCTTGGGGACCACGCCAGGCTGCCCTACCATGAGCTGATCCGCTGGAGCGAGGCAGCCATCATGGTGCCCAAGCCCCGCATCACCGAGCTGCACTTCCTGCTGCGCAGCCTATCGGACAACGACCTGCTGGCCATGCGACGGCAGGGCCGCTTCCTGTGGGAGACATACTTCTCCACCTCAGAGAATGTACTGGGCACCATCCTGGCCAGTGTTCGGACCAGCATCCAGGTGCCCGCCGCACCTATCCGCGAGGAGCCCGCCCAGGAGATCCCACACAAGGCAGGCAAGATGGCCGGCACAGACGCCAACCTGGCCGACAATGGCGACCTGGACCTGGGCCCTGTGGAGACGGAGCCACCGTACGCCTCGCCGCGCTTCCTCCGCAACTTTACCTACACGTCAACCAACACCTACCAGACCTGGAACCGTGCCCCGGGGCCTTTCCACCTGTTCCCCCACACGCCGCTGGACCCCGTGCTGCCCTCGGAGGCCAAGTTCCTGGGCTCGGGCACGGGCTTCCGCCCCATTAGCGGCGGTGCGGGGGGCTCGGGGAAGGAGTTTCAGGCAGCGCTGGGTGGTAACGTGCCCCGGGAGCAGTTCACGGTGGTCATGCTGACCTATGAGAGGGAGGAGGTGCTGATGAACTCCCTGGAGAGGCTCAACGGGCTGCCCTACCTCAACAAGGTGGTGGTGGTGTGGAACTCCCCTAAGCCTCCTTCAGACGACCTGCTGTGGCCAGACATCGGCCTGCCCATCGTGGTGAGTACCTTCCACCGCCGCTGAATACTCAACATGCCCCCGGTGCTTAGTGCTTGCTCACTGCTCAGACTGAACAATATGCTTGAATGGGAGAGAATGATCTGAAAGGCTTGGCTCGTCTAGCCCATTCTGAAATGCAAATAGTGTAACTTGTGATGTGGTGCAGCAGTCTTGGAGGCTGTGTGTCTGAGAGTGTGCTCAAGTACATCAGTCTAGCTGCTGAAGCTGATTTGATCTGCTCTCCCTGCTTCACTTAAAAACGTTCCTTACAACTCTGCAGGGCAGCCAGCCAAATTACACCAGCTGATATAAAGGAAATAGAAAGTGTGAAGTCCACAGAAAAGGTCTGTCTTTTAGATGGGAACTTCAACAGAATATTCAAGTATCCCAATTACAGTCTATAGGAAAGATATTCCCTCTGTGCAGGGAGATATGGGAGGATAGTTTAATGATCTTGAATGAATAGCCTAATTGGTCAACACATTTTAAAAAACCGTGTTACTATTGAATGCTAATAGATAATTCCATACTTTCATGTTTTTTGTTAGATGGGTTAGCCTAATAAAGGTGTTGAGAAAGGGGGGCGGAGTGGTTTGGACCATTACCATATATACTTTAATGAAATTCCACATTAAAAGGATAGTTCACTCAAATGATGCAAAACATACTGTTTTTGAAAACTTGACTGCTGACATGCACACATTCTTGGGATTGTATTAACAGTGAACTAATTAAGAAAATAATAAATAAAAAATTGTGAACGATCCCTTTAACACTTCTCCTGTCCTGCAGGTGGTGCGCACGGAGAAGAACAGCCTCAACAACCGCTTCCTGCCCTGGGACGCCGTGGAGACGGAGGCCATCTTGTCCATCGATGACGACGCCCACCTCCGCCACGACGAGATTATGTTTGGGTTCAGGTCAGTTAGAGGGGAGTCTGGGGACCAGTCATTGAATCCAAAGCTCTTTGGAGAAAGAAAATGTATTTTGTTTTGTACCTCATTGATTTTCAAAGAGATCCATTTTTCATTGGAACCCAGCAGACCGATGATCTGTCTACAGATATTGACAAGCATTGTGTGAATTGACACTTATTCCAAAAGTAAAACAATGTAAATAACATTCAACGCACACTGACATTAAAAAGCATTTTTAGCACAGTAGCACAGCGTAGACCAAAACATACACTAATGTAACTGACCCTGACAGATTAACAAGAGAGAAATGGACCATGTTGACTTTTCAAGCGCCACATGAGCATACAGTACTAGACTTGCCTCATCTTGAATATCATATCAGGGCCATGTGTAAAGCTAAATTCTGGGATTCAAAATACAAGAGAAAAGGAAACAGCTGAGCTAGGGAAATGTAACGCCTCTCAAATCCATAGACAGCGCTCTATTGTTCATATTTTAACCATATTTTGAAGCTATATGTACTTTGTTTACATTCTTTGATGTTTGTAAACAATGGAGAAATTAAACCTTAGCCTATATTTTGGGTTATGATAAAGACCGATCGTTGCCTATAAGGCATTTATTTATAAATTACATTCATCAAGAATCAATGGGTAAATATCAAGAATTGATGACCATTGAACAGCTTCCCAAATCCCCGACTGCAGCATTGTCAAATGGTTTTGCCACTGTTGCAGCATGCCCAGGCAGGCAGAATGCTTCACTGTAGGAATGGAGTCATTTGTCATCAATTATCCTGGAATATTTTTTCCTCACCTAGAACAACTGCTAAATTCCTACTGGGAGTTTATATAGCGTGAATGTGCTAGATCTCCAAGGAATAGGACTGATGTTTGATAAGAGTTTAAACTTCATGTGCAAGCGTTTATGGACATTTCCAGAAGTAGGAATTTGGAACATATCGTCTGATAGCTGCACATAGGAGCTGATACTCCTCACTCCTTGTAGTCTCTTGTGTGTGTGTCTGTGTGCACGTCAGAGGTGAGGAGGGCCAATGGAGTGGGTGGGAGAGAAAATAATGCACAACACATACCTCTTTACGTCTCTTCTCCTTGTAGATTGCCGTCCTTGCTGACAAGCTGTAGAGACTGTGTTGTCAGCTACATGATTTTCATTATAGGCCTGCATGTACAATACAATATGTACATATAAACTCAGGAAAAAAAGAAACGTCCTTTCACTGTCAACTGAGTTTATTTTCAGCAAACTTAACATGTGTAAATATTTGTATGAACATAACAAGATTCAACAACTGAGACATAAACTGAACAAGTTCCACAGACATGTGACTAACAGAAATGGAATAATGTGTCCCTGAACAAAGGAGAGGTCAAAATCAAAAGTAACAGTCAGTATCTGGTGTGGCCACCAGCTGCATTTAAGTACTGCAGTGCTTCTTCGCCGGCCATGGCAGGACACTGACATTCCTGTCTTGCAGGAAATCACGCACAGAATGAGCAGTATGGCTGGTGGCATTGTCATGCTGGAGGGTCATGTCAGGATGAGCCTGCGGGAAGGGTACCACATGAGGGAGGAGGATGTCTTCCCTGTAACGCACAGCGTTGAGATTGCCTGCAATGACAACAAGCTCAGTCCGATGATGCTGTGACACACCGCCCCAGACCATGACGGACCCTCCACCTCCAAATTGATCCCGCTCCAGAGTACAGGCCTCGGTGTAACGCTCATTCCTTCGACGATAAACGCGAATCTGACCATCACCCCTGGTGAGACAAAACCGCGACTCGTCAGTGAAGAGCACTTTTTGCCAGTCCTGTCTGGTCCAGCGATGGTGGGTTTGTGCCCATAGGCGAGGTTGTTGCCGGTGATGTCTGGTGAGGACCTGCCTTACAACAGGCCTACAAGCCCTCAGTCCAGCCTCTCTCAGCCTATTGCGGAAAGTCTGAGCACTGATGGAGGGATTGTGCGTTCCTGGTGTAACTCGGGCAGTTGTTGTTGCCATCCTGTACCTGTCCCACAGGTGTGATGTTCGGATGTACCGATCCTGTGCAGGTGTTGTTACACGTGGTCTGCCACTGCGAGGACGATCAGCTGTCCGTCCTGTCTCCCTGTAACGCTGTCTTAGGTGTCTCACAGTACGGACATTGCAATTTATTGCCCTGGCCACATCTGCAGTCCTCATGCCACTTTGCAGCATGCCTAAGGCACGTTCACGGAGATGAGCAGGGACCCTGGGCATCTTTCTTTTGGTGTTTTTCAGAGTCAGTAGAAAGGCCTCTTTAGTGTCCTAACCTTTCATAACTGTGACCTTAATTGCCTACTGTCTGTAAGCTGTTGGTGTCTTAATGACCGTTTCACAGGTGCATGTTCATTAATTGTTTATGGTTCATTGAACAAGCATGGGAAACAGTGTTTAAACCCTTTACAATGAAGATCTGCAAAGTTATTTGGATTTGTACAAATTATCTTTGAAAGACAGGGTCCTGAAAAGGGACGTTTCTTTTTTTGCTGAGTTGATATTGTGCTCACATTTTGATGCAATTCTCCTCAGCGCATTCTCCCCAGTATAATGCTGACTTTTCCTCTCCGTCATTGAATCTAACTGTATAACTGTCTTTATCAGGGCGTGATAAGTAATTATTGTTTCTCTTGGTCCGGTTGTGTGTATCAGGGTGTGGCGGGAAGCCAGGGACCGCATCGTGGGCTTCCCCGGGAGATTCCATGCCTGGGATGTCAACCACCAATCATGGCTCTACAACTCCAACTACTCCTGTGAACTCTCCATGGTGCTGACGGGCGCCGCCTTCTTTCACAAGGTACAGCCCCTTCTCCATCCCCGTCATGACACCTTTCAACCCTGTGAGCCCTGACCTGTATGCTACGCACAGCTCTGTTTGGTGGTCCTCTGTTACTCAGTTGGTAGAGCATGGCGCTTGCAACAACAGGATAGTGGGTTTGATTCCAGGACCACCCGTACGTAAAATGTATGCATGACTGCAAGTCGCTTTGAATAAAACCGTCTGCTAAATGGAAGATATTATTATATTATACAGTGCATTCGGAAAGTATTCAGACCTCTTGACTTTTTCCAAATTTTGTTGTTACAGCCTTATTCTAAAATGGGTTAAATTGTTTTTATCCCTTCATAAAAAGTTTTACATTTTACATTTTTAGTCATTTAGCAGACGCTCTTACCCAGAGCGACTTACAGTTAGTGAGTGCATACATTTCTTTTTTCATACTGGCCCCCCGTGGGAATCGAACTCACAACCCTGGCGTTGCAAGCGCAATGCTCTACCAACTGAGCTACATAAATCTACACACAATACCCCATAATGACAAAGCAAAAACAGGTTAAAAAAAATACATCATCTGTAATATCACATTTACATAAGTATTCAGACGTTTTACTCAGTACTTTGTTGAAGTACCTTTGGCAGCAATTACAGCCTTGAGTCTTATTGCGTATGACGCTACAAGCTTGGCACACCTGTATTTGGGGAGTTTCTCCCGTTCTTCTCTGCGGATCCTGTCAAGATCTGTTAGGTTGGATGGGGAGCGTCGCTGCACAGCTATTTTCAGGGTCTCCAGAGATGTTCGATCGGGTTCAAGTCCAGGCTCTGGCTGGGCCACTCAAGGACATTCAGAGACTTGTCCCGAAGGCACTCCTGCGTTGTCTTGGCTGTGTGCTTACAGTCGTTGTCCTGTTGGAAGTTGAACCTTCGCCCCAGTCTGAGGTCCTGAGCGCTCTGGAGCAGGTTTTCATCAAGGATCTCTCTGTACTTTGCTCTGTTAATCTTTCCCTCGATCCTGAGTAGTCTCCCAGTCCCTGCCACTGAAAAACATCCCCACAGCATGATGCTGCCACCACCATGCTTCACCGTAGGGATGGTGCCAGGTTTCCTCCAGACGTGACACTTGGAATTCAGGCCAAAGAGTTCAATCTTTGTTTCATCAGACCAGAAAACCTTGTTTCTCATGGTCTGAGAGCTTTCGGTGCCTTTTGGTAAACTCCAAGCGGGCTGTCATGTGCCTTTTACTAATGAGTGGCTTCCATCTGGCCACTCTACCATAAAGGCCTGTTTGGTGGAGTGCTGCAGAGATGGTTGTCCTTCTGGAAGGTTCTCCCATCCCTCCAGAGTTCCTCTGTGGATCTGTCAGGGTGACCATCGGGTTCTTGGTCACCTTCCTGACCAAGGCCCTTCTCCCCCGATTGCTAAGTCTGGCCGGGCGGCCAGCTTTAGGAAGAGTCTTGGTGGTTCCAAACTTCTTCCATTTAAGAATGATGGAGGCCACTGTTTTCTTGGGAACCTTCAATGCTGCAGAAATATTTTTGTTCCCTTCCACAGATCTGTGGCTCGACACAATCCTGTCTCGGAGCTCTACGGACAATTCCTTCGACCTCATGGCTTGGTTTTTGCTCTGACATGCACTGTCATCTGCGGAACCTTATATAGACAGGTGTGCCTTTCCAAATCATGTCCAATCAATTGAATTTACCACAGGTGCACTCCAATCAAGTTGTAGAAACATCTCAAGGACGATCAATGGAAACAAGATGCACCTGAGCTCAATTTTCGAGTCTATAGTAAAGGGTCTGAATACTTATGTAAATAATGTATTTCTGTTTTTTAGGTTTAATACATTTGCAAAAACTTGTTTTCGCTTTGTTATTATGGGGTATTGTGTGTAGAATGATGAGGAGTTTTATTTATTTAATACATTTTAGAGTAAGGCTGTAACGTAACAAAATGTGGAAAAGGGGAAGGGGTCTTTTCGAATGCACTGTATATTAACTTACCTGTCTTGTATAAGATACATCACCCTCATCCCTCCTCTCCACAAGTTCCTTGTACTTATTTTGGTCTGACCTGTCTCACCCTTTCCTCATTGTACCTGGGCCATATTCATTAGGCACCAAACGGAAGAAAAGATTGCTTGTCCAATGCTTGACTCCCTCATTTTCATTTTCTGTTGCAAAATGTTTTATAACGTTGTGTGTTCTAATGAACAGGACGCCGGTTGATTCCCTTATATGTTTTGTCTCTGCTGCAGTACTATGCGTACCTGTACTCGTATGTGATGCCCCAGGCCATCCGCGACATGGTGGATGAGTACATCAACTGCGAGGATATCGCCATGAACTTCCTGGTGTCGCACATCACACGAAAGCCCCCTATCAAGGTCAGTGGGGCGCACACACACACACATATACTCAAAAAGACACACACACCCCGGGCACTGTTTATTTATATTTCTGCTCCCTTAGCCGACCATTCCTCAACCTGACATGCTCAATATTCTGTTGCAAATTATAAATCAGAACACAAGAAGATTGGATTGTTGCCATACGCTTTCGTTTCCCTCGACATCTGTTTGCGAGACATTTATGACTAGCGGACTAATTATGCCAATCAAGCCAGGGGACATTGTGAGACCTGGAATCTTGTAATATTCCCAGGTGTTTTGTTCAGGAAAATCGGACAGGCTTCGATGGCGTGTGTGAGTTGACGGCAAGTTGGCCCTGGTAGGAATAAGGCTCGTGAATAATGCCTGCAGTGGAAGTAAACTCCTGTAACTAATGAACGACTTTCCTTTTCCTGAAGAATCAACCCTAAGAGTCAACCTAATTTTATGCCCTGTAATATGTGTCGTGGTATACAATTATGTGCAAGTATTCTGTCCCAGTGTTCATTGGCACACACTACCATATTTTACGACCACATGTTCATGGTATCGACAAAGCAATCAAAATGGTTGTAGCATTTTAATTAGATACACACAGATACACCCTCTCCATTTCCTCCCTCTTAGGTGACGTCTCGTTGGACCTTCCGCTGCCCCGGCTGCCCGCAGGCCCTGTCGCACGACGACTCTCACTTCCACGAGCGCCACAAGTGCATCAACTTCTTTGTCAAGGTGTACGGCTACATGCCCTTACTCTACACACAGTTCCGCGTGGACTCTGTGCTCTTCAAGACACGTCTGCCCCACGACAAGACTAAGTGCTTCAAGTTCATCTAGCCCAGGGCTAGGCCCAGCTAAGAACGTTGGGCAGAACGGAGCGAGAGAGTGAGGAACTCAGGCAGGACGGAAGAAAGGAGGGAGAAGAGAGGGCTGGTTCTGAGATGGATGGAGGTTTGGGGGTGAGGGCCTACACCCAAGAATTGGATCTAGAATGTACAATAAGAACCCTCTCCAGTTAATTGGCGCCCCTCACACCTTTACTGGAACCACTGATAGGCTGGAAGCAGAGAAGGACCGCTGCCAATCAAGAAGCCTTTTCATTTTTTTTTTTTTTTTCCTCATGTTGTCCATGTGTGTTTTATCAGCAACCACTACAGAGAAAACATTTTGCCCCACCTTTTATGGGCCTACAAAGGAGAGAAAGAGGATAGAGATGTGGTAACACTGCCTACCCAAGGACTTAACTTGACTCTCAGAGCCAAACTCAAACTGACAATGTAAACGGACTGGTTTTAAACTGACACAGGGAGAGAGAGACAGTGGACTGTTGTAGTGGGCCCTGAGCTCCTGAATCGCTAGCTAAACATTTCACCTTTTGGGAGAGAAACAAAGGGGCAGAGGTATATACGGTTTGTCCATTGCACTCATTTCTTGTTTTGTTGTTTTTTTATTCATTTTACATTTATATACTCTACTCTTGTATATGAAACCGCGAGAGAAGCACTGATGGTCGCAGAAGTATTTTATTCGCTGATCTTGTTTTTTTTAAACGTGGTGTTTTCATTTTGTAAATCTCAATCTCGACGTGGGATGATCTTGGCGTTGGCAGACCCATAGAATTAGAATTACTAGAATGGGCAAAGCCCCTCAGAACATGGCATTCTCACAGTAGATTATATTTCTATGGGCAGACCTAAGCTAACCCCAGACAATGTCCTGTTTGTCACTCTGCCTCTCAATGACTACAGATGGAGACTAAAGAACAGGACCATTAGGCCACAAGTTCTATATGTTTACCAGATAAATCTAGCAAATATTCATAGGAAAATTAATTTATGGGAAAGGAATTATCTAACAGGTTTGTTAAGCCTACAGCAGACTACAAAGGCTTTACGTTGGACCTAAACACCTAGTAGGCCTACTTGTTTTCATAATAGTTGTCACCAGCTGTCATTGAGCATTTACATGGCTTTTTGTGACTTTTTGGATGTTGGTGGTATTAGGCTACCTATCAATGGTTGATGTTAAATGACTGAGTAGTCTTTCCTATGTAGTCCTAATGACGTGTTCAGTAATGGAGTAGGGTGAATTTGCCCCTAGATTCTGATCTAGGTTCAGTTTTGCATTTCCCCCGCTAATAGTTAAAGGCCCAGTGCAGTCCAAAATGTGCATTTTCTGTGTTTTATATATATATTTCCACACTGTGAGGTTGGAATAATACTGTGAAAATGATAATGCCCTTTTAGTGTAAGAGCTGTTGGAAAATACTGAAATTTTTGCCTGTTTTGGTGGGAGGGAGTTTTGGCCTGCCTGGTTACATTACCAGGCGGTAAATAAGACCGTTCCAAACCTCTGTGCCAATAACAGTTAATTTTCAGTTTTCCCATCCCTACTCAGACCACTGCTCTTTGCTAAGAAGCTATTTTTGTTTATTTTTGACAATTTTAATTAAAGACAATCACAGTAAGGTACATAATTGTTACCCAGAAATGATTTGATAGTGAGATAAAAAATGGCTGCATTGGACCTTTTTACGGTTAGGATTGGGGGAGGGGAAGCTGATCCCAGATCTGTACCTAGGGGAAAACTTCACCCCGGAGCATTCGATAATGGTTTCAATTGGGCACTTGTGGGAAACACAAGTCTAAAAATATCAATATATCAGACCTTAGTGCAAGGAAGTGAAAAACAAGCTTATTTCGACACTGAAGATATTTAGGTGTTTCTGTCCCTCGTCGTCATGGTCCAATACTCATGCCAATCATGTCATAGATCACACTTCCATTCAGTATTAACCTCCAAAATGAGCTGCTTCTCTGTACAGCGTCTACACGTCAGGTCCCTCAAGTTTCATTTTGTAACGATTGATGCTCAGTGAATGTTTTCTTTGCCAAATAGGTACGATTTTTATCTGCTGATAAACAGCACAATATTTTGCAAAGTGCACAATGTGAACGCTTGTTAATGGGATGCAGTCTGGTACACCCCTGCCCCCCACCCCTTTTAGACGGTCTTCCCCCTCCTAAAAATAAGTTGACCACCCCCCCTCGCCTATTGAAATGGCAGTGCCTGTACAGACCTTATTAATTAACGTACGTTGGCCTTTTCTGGCATCATTCCATTGATTTTACTTAAGGATCTAAACTGTAACACTAGATCCTTTATTTGAGATGATTCAGGAGATATGATGACACTGTTGATCAGCAATAGTAATCTATTTGATTCTGGGAGGTTAAAACTATGGCACTCCGCATTATCGTCCCCATAGTTTCTGTATATTTATTGAATTGAATATATTAAATGGATATACTAAGGCTTGCTTCTGAAGGGGTTAACTTTGTGAATAGAAATGATGACTGCAATAAAATGAAATGTGATCTTGGTCAACGGAACCTCCTCGCCTGACTGACCTTGCATCACTGGCCCACTGTGCACAGATGTCAATTCAACATCTATTCCACATTGGTTCAACGTAATTTCATTGAAATTACGTGGAAACAACGTTGATTCAACCAGTGTATGTCCAGTGGGGGGCCTCATTAGAACACTAACGAGAACCAATATGTGGCATTGACCGCTCGACTTAGAACTCGCCCTAAAACACAAATTTAGGATCAGCTCTAACCTGTGCCAATCCTAACCTGAACCTTTAATAGGTGAAAAGCAAAACTGATCTTAGATCAGGTCTTGGAGACAACTACAGTCTGGGTGTGTGCTCAAACCTGGTTTTGACTGACCCATTTGCAATAATGTGCACTCACACATACCAGTGGCTTGAGTTTGAGCTCCAGATGCTGCCTGCATAATTACCTGGTTAACAGACACACTCCTAACATTTCCTGGGGCAGGGAGGGGTCGGCTCGGGTTACGTCTCATGCAGTGCTTTGGAAGTCCCACCTCCCTTCCCCGTTTTCCCCCTCGGGACAATGGCGCAGCTGGTTTTCTAGTGTCAACAGATGAAGAAAGAGGGCCGGGAAACAGCCGCCAATCATTCCTCTAGCTAGGTGTTTAAGTGTTCTGAAACTAGGCACTCCTGGGACTATTTCCCCACACACGCCCAGCCCTGGGTCTTGTTCATTAGGCACCCAACAGACAAACAGGAAGTCCCTACCTGGTGTTGGTCCAATACGTTTAGTTTTTTTGGGGAGAAGAAAAAATAATGCTTTAAAGCTGTTTGCTAGTGTGCCCTAATGAATATGACCCTGGGCTAGCCACCTGCAACTACTGCTGCCTACCCTGTTCTGTACCAGACGGACCACTGATGACAGGGTAAAACAAACCGTTGAAGGCCGGACATGGAATTAAAATCTCTCTACGTTAGTTTAAAACGTGTCTATGACTCGTGTTGTTCTTTTGTCTCCTCCTTTACCGCATAAATTAAACAGTAGGCATACATTTCCTGACGTTCTCTAACCTCACACGTTATTAGCCAATATGAGTATGTTCAGCTTAGACTATGGGATTTAATTCAGTCAGCATACTGTGGATCTCCGTGCAATATGTCACCAATCTCTGACTCCATGCTGCGAGCTGTGGCTGCACTCTGCAGAAGCCCTGACCCAATGGGGTGTGGGGCGTCGGGCAACAAGCCTGAACTAAACACTGAACCACTAACATCACAGGGAGATGAGAGAATACCCACCTCATCTCCAGCCAGGAGAGAGAGAGGAAGGAGGGGGTTCTTGTTACAGTAAAGCGGGTGTGGTGCTAGTACTAGAGTATTGATGGCAGCCATCAAACGTGTTTCACAGTGAAATGTGAAATAGACCCAGTGTCCAGGCCTGCTTCAGAGTCAGCATGACACACATGATACTGCTGCGTGGAATCCTGCTTGTCATACTGTACTCCTTGTAGCATAACTACAGTACCCATAATGCTCTGTTTCACCAGTGATTCTCTACATAGAAATATAATGACTAGATTCTATTTCTATGGAAGAGCATACTGTAGTGTTGATGGATTAAATATATATTTTATCACCCACCTACACACAATACCCCATAATGACAAAGTGAAAACATGTATTTAGAAATTTTTGTACATTTTATTAAATTCAATACAGAAATATCTAATTTACATAAGTATTCACACCCCTGAGTCTATACTTTGTAGAATAACCTTTGGCAGCGATTACAGCTGTGGGTCTTTTTGGGTAAGTCTAAGAGCTTTCCACACCTGGATTGTGCAACGTTTACACATTATTATTTTCAAAATTCTTCAAGCTCTGTCAAATTGGTTGTTGATCATTGCTAGACACAGGGGCGGTGTGTTCAATAGGGCGATATGGGCGACGCACTGCCAAACGGGAAAAGGAAGGGATTTTTTTTCTAATCAATTATATCACGGCAACAGTAGTTATCAGTGTTGTAATCTAGACGTCTGATCTGCCACAGTGCCACTAAATGTCCAATCAGGCTAAAGTCGTGCTTCAAATGGCCCCCCCCCCTTTTGGGGCGATTTCAGTCAGGTTGAAAATCGCCCAGAAGTCTGCCATAGACTCCCATGTAAAATCTATTTTTTTCAAATATCAGAGCTTTCAATACAATCTCTATGGGTTTCTGAGGGCTTGCACTTACGCGCTTTCGTCATACGTAACGTAACCATGAACGTAACTAAGAAAAGAGCGGGTAGCAGCGTCAATCAATTCACTATTACTGTCAAAATGGCTAGGCTTCAGTGCAACTCGATTGTGTCTTTGAAAGAAGTTCCTTTTTGTCGGCGAACAAATGAAGATAAATTGGCAACGAAACAATTAGGACCTCCCAGACCAAATTTAATAATTCAACAGGTTTCTACTAAAGGGGGGAAGTCCTACACCCGAGGATTTTCCAAAAATTGGTACGAACGAAAAACCTGGCTAGCAGGCTGCGATGTAGCTAATGCAGTCTTCTGCTACCCCCTGCTTACTCTTTCACCCTGAAGGCGGCACGGCAGACAGCACCGCTTGGACAGCGACTGGTGTGTAACGGACATGCACCATCTTTCAGGAAAGATTAAGAAACATGAGCTGTCAAAGACCCACATGGATAGCTGTTTGAGATTGTCTGCTTTGGGGAGAGTGAACATTCCCACTCAACTGGATGAGGGATACAGGCTAGCTGTCCGCCGCCACAACGATGAGGTTAGTGTTGATAATCACAAGTTTACTGGAGAACTGAAACTGACAAGGCTGACAAGATAGGACCCTTTTGTCCATTGTTATTGGATAGGAACAGAACTTATAACCAGCTCCTGACCTAAATAGATCTTAGCACAACATTTTACTCAACATATCATATTCCATATTCACTATAACAAATATATTTACTACGACATTAGCAAGAACCGCCACATCCTCAGCCGGCTAATCCAGTGTGTGAAGTTTTGCGGAGTGTTTGAGTTAGCTTTGCGAGGCAAAGATGAAACTGAGGGCTCCACCAACCCTGGTAAGCCAACACTTTTGAGATCAGTCAATAAATGCTTCTGGTATTGACTTATATGCTGCCCCTGTCTTCATGTTGTTGCTGGACATATCTTTTTTAAAATGTGTGTAGGTCACCTAAATCATCAGAAAAATTGCCCCCCCTGAGAATTTTTTCAGGAGCCGCCACTGGCTAGACAACCATTTTCAGGTCTTGCCATAGATTTTCAAGTAGATTTAAATAAAAACTTGGCCACTCAGGAACATTCACTGTCTTCTTGGTAAGCAACTCCAGTATAGATTTGGCCTTGTGTGTTAGGTTATTGTCCTGCTGAAAGGTGAAGCAGACTGAACCAGGTTTTTCTCTAAGATTTTGCCTGCGCTTAGCTCCATTCCGTTTAGTTTTTATCCTGAACAAACTCCCCAGTCCTTATTGATTACAAGCATACTCATAACATGATGCAGCCACCACTGTGCTTGAAAATATGGAGAGTTGTACTCAGTAATGTATTGCATTTGCCCCAAACAACGCTTTGTAGTCCCCTGTAGCTCAGTTGGTAGAGCATGGCGCTTGCAACGCCAGGGTTGTGGGTTCGTTTCCCACGGGGGGCCAGTATGAAAATGTATGCACTCACTAACTGTAAGTCGCTCTGGATAAGAGCGTCTGCTAAATGACTAAAATGTAAAAATGTATTCAGGACAAAAAGTTAATTGCTTTGCCACATGTTTTGCAGTATTACTTTAGTGCCTTGTTGCAAACAGGATGCATGTTTTGGAATATTTCTGTACAGGCTTCCTTCTTTTCACTCTGTCAATTAGGTTAGTATTGTGGAGTAGCTACAATGTTGTTGATCCATCCTAAGTTTTCTCCTATCACAGCCATTGAACTCTATAACTGTTTTAAAGTCCACCATTGGCCTCATGGTGAAATCCCTGATCTGTTTCCTTCCACTCCGGCAACTGAGTTAGGAAGGACACCTGTATCTTTGTAGTGACTAGGTGTATTAATACACCATCCAAAGTGTAATTAATAACTTCACCATGCTCAAAGGGATATTCTGTGTCTTTTTTTTCTTCTTTTTTTCATCTACCAAAAGGTGCCCTTTTTTGCAAGGCGTTGGAAAACCTCCCTGGTCTTTCTGGTTGAATCTGTTTGAAATTCACAGCTCGACTGGGGGACCTTACAGATAATTGTATGTGTGGGGTACAGAGATGAGATGGTCATTTTAAAAATCATGTTAAACATTATTTTTGCACACAGAGTGAGTCCATGCAACTTATTATGTGACTTGTTAAACACATTTTTGCTCGCCATAACAAAGGGGTTGAATACTTATTGACTCAAGATATTTCAGTTGTATTTTTATTTAATTTTTTTAAACAATTTCCACTTTGACATTATGGGGTAGTGTGTGTAGGCCAGTGACAAAAAAATTCAATTTAATCAATTTGAAATTCAGTCTGTAACACAAATTGTGGAAAAAGTGTGAATACTTTCTTAAGGCACTGTAGCGCTAATATGTAATACATGAAAGGTGCTGGGTCTTTTATAAGGATGGTATAGGCTACAGAGTTGTTTGATTCAGTCTGCCACAACAAAACAAATATAGTTTTTCTATTCTCAAATGATGCTAAATGTGACTCACATTATGTAAGACCACTCTGAAAATGTAGTTGGTATTTGTGTTCTTGAACACATGCACACAAAGACATGGTATTATAACGGGAGATGAAACGGCTGTAAAAAGAAACCCCTAAAATAGGACGAAAAATAACAAATCAGTAAAATTGATATTGCATAATGTCACGCAACGGTACCAAAGTGTATAAATAAGCATAGCTCGTTAGCATAGTTGTTGCAGCACGTTACAGGCCCAGCTGGCTTTAAGTCATGGTAACAGTCTTCCATTGCATCATCCCCGTTACCGATGGCTGCGAGCGTCAGTTGAGAAATGACTAATATGCTGGTGTCATTTGAAGTCAGTACCATAGAAATAGAATGACCATGTCGGCCATATTGAGTGAATCCATGAGTGTATCATTTAATTTGCAGTGGTCTGAGGGGCTTTGTCCCTTCTTGTAATTCTATTTCTATGGTCAGTACAACCCCGGAAGAATGTGAGGGGGCTGGCTTGTTTTGGTCGTTGTTCTTCCACACACTCTTTGGTCCTCCGTTCAGGATGAAAATGGTCCATTGTACGAGATATGTATGGTCATATTTTCATAATCTTCTGTAAACAATTACATGCAAATATACTATTATGGACCAGAATATGGGAAATGAATTACACAAAATTGTCCTCAATCTGAGACTGAATGGTACATTTCAGGACCAGTTGTGTTCATTTCAGTAGCAGTTGCATCCATTTCAGGATCGGTTGTATCCATTTCAGGACCAGTTCATAATTGAGGTCTATCAGCTATTGTATTAAAAAGATCAGTCTGACAGTCACCATTGACAATGACAGGAGCAGGAAGTCATTGCTAAGAACCAGTGGAGTGTAGAACCATTCAGTCTTTCTCAGGTTAAGTGGGTGTTTTACGGATTAAATGGTATTAAAGCAGCACTTAATGAACGGAGACTCCATGTGGAATCCACGTGCCTCTCAAAGCACTGCACCCTCACACACATCCCATGACAGGTTCATATGCATAGCATGGACGGATTGTTCCTCAGCTCCTCGTCTGCATCTCTGAAGGAAGCTCAAGGAACCAATTCCCCTCTCAACACAGAGGTCAAGATCCTCCATCATATTCCTCCTCCTATTTAAACATTTAATTTCACCATTATTTATACAGGTTATTCTATGTCATCGAGATCAAATCTTGTGATTCTCATTAAGACCTGTTCAAGATTCCAAGAGTGTGTGCCAGTGGCACACCTGCTGTCCCTCTGCCTCCTTCATCTGGCTCCAGTGGGCCTGCTGCTCCTCTCCGGTGCTGTTGAACCCCAGGGACAGCCAGCCCACCCTCTCTCTGGCCTTCATGCTGCTCCTCCGGCTGTACACCGACACCACCAGGGAGACCTCGGACAGCTGGAAGAGGGCCACCTGGAAGAAAACAGAGATGGGGTGGGTTGTTTGTCAGGGTTCATGTATGTAAAATGTATTCATTCTCTCTCTCTCTCTCTCTCTCTCTCTCTCTCTCACTCTTTCACTCTCTCTCTCTCACTCACTCACTCACTCTCACACACACACCTGGAAGACAAAGGTCTCCTTGTAAGTAGGGTTGGGCTGGCCGCGGCACACCGACGTCTTGCACTTGGACATCTCCTTGCCCTTGGAGTCGAGCATGGTCAGCTTCACATAGGTGTCTGTGGAAGGAGGGACAAAAAGAGAAGGGGGGAGGTTGTTGAGGGGCTGCCATCTAGTGGAGACGAATGGCGAATTGCTGTAGATAGATCTTCAATAGAAGATCTTCAAGTCATCTATATTCTATTGTAATTATATTATTTTGTGCCTGTAGTTGATTATGGTGATATCTTGTATATGTATGCCCCTGTGGCATCATTACATATGCTGGACACTGTACCATGGGGCGCTGAAGTTTGTGACTAACTCCAAAGCCCTCACTCATCACTGTACCCTCTATATGAGAGTGGGCTGGCCTTCCTTAGCTCTTCAGAGATTAAATCATTAGTATGTTTTTATATTAAAGGCCATATTGAGACAGCTATCATTTTACTTGCGTAATTACATTGTCCAGCAGACAAATTAAAACTACCGCCTGCGCTCACCTGACTGTGTTTTGTTGATTGTGCCTAAGACCCGTACAGAGCTAGGTGAAAAAGCTTTCCCGTTCTCTGCCCCTTCGGCCTGGAACGAGCTTCAAAAGGTCCTGAAATTGCAGGAGCTCATCCCTATAAATTAGTTTAAAGCTAGCTTAAACACTATTATGGAAAATAAAGGGTTGGGGGGAACTGTCAATGTTTTCAATGTGTAAAATAATGTATTTGTGTTTTATGTGGTAAATGTGTCTGCAACTTTGTGTGCTGCTATTTTAGCCAGGTCTCTCGTAAAAGTGATTATTAATCTCAACGAGACTAACCTGGTAAAATAAAAAAAGATAAAAAAATTGTGTTGAACCATAATAGAATACGAATCGCTTTTTGATACCAGTCACTTTTTGGTTCTTTTTCACGATACGATGTTTTGTTCTCTTTCCCAATATGCCAAAATTATCAGTAGACACAGAGAGGAACAGACAGTGAGTCACAATTGTGACGACGACTGGTACAGATAGAAAGAGGTGTATGGATTGATAAGAGGACTCACCTCTCATGATGTAAAGTTGTCCCCCTATTAACTGTTTTATACAACAAAACAGACCACCTGGGACACACCACACATATGGCCACAAAGGAAGGAGGAAAGAGAGTTTGAGTATAAAGACTGCTGAAGTAAATAGCTGATAGACCCACAACAATAGGAATAAGAGCATGCATTCAGTTCTATGGATTTGAATGCTAAGCTACCCAACTACTCCATAACATTATCAAAGACACAACAGAAAATAGACACAACGTCCTAATGTTCATTGTCCACTCACTGGGAGGTTTGTCTGAGGCTGTGTTCTTGAAGTGGCTGCCCTGGATGACCTCTGCAGAGAGCCTACCAGTGGTGGAGTTGTAGATGAGGCCCAGTAGGATCTCTGGTGTGGAGTCCCCGGTGGAACGGTAGGACAGAGCCCCTGCACTACGAGACACACTCACCAACGACCCACAGCCCTGTAGGGAGAAAGGAGAGGACAGACAACACCACATGCAGAGTTAGAGGCAGGTAGGAATCAGTACAATGCAACTGAATGGCTTGGATTGGGTGAGACTATGCCTTGTCTAAAGGCTCTCTGTCGAGCCGTCTGGTTTTTGACCGCCACAGGAGCGGACAAAACAACCGCTTTTTTAAATTGGCTGATCTATCACTCCATCACTATCTAGCATGGATGGGCAACTTCGATGTGTGGGGGCGACAAAAAATCTGAACTCATCATGAGGGGCCTTGGTGGCTCGCAGGTCTGCGGACCCACATCCATACCCACACATGCAGCCAGAGCCGGCACTAGCCTTGCGAGCGAAACATTTTAGAGTTAATTTCCTTCAATTCCACACATCTTGCCATGGGGCATAGAGAACATGTTGAAGTTTTAAAGCAAGTTTGCTGCAATTCTACACATTTTGCCATGGAGTGAAGAGAAGAGTTAGTAATTTTATAACTCATTTCATGTAATTCTATTAACTTTGCCATGGGGCAGAGACTAAAATGTGCAGTTTTACAACAAATTTCCTGCAATTCTACGCATTTTGCCATTGGGTGGAGAGAAATGTTTGCAGTTTTAATATGATATCTGAGTGAGTGTAATTCGACCATGATTACTAAAAGTTTAGATAGCTGGCTAGACGAACCTCCCATTTAAAAGATGTGTTATGTGTTCCTACTACGATGTGTTCCTACTACCTTGGGTTCCAGGGAATTATTTCCGTGGTGCACCATAACAAACACTTTGCCGCCTCGATTTGGAGCCACGCCTCATAGTCGTGTGAGTTGCTCAGAATTTGAATTGATTATCATGTCACTCAGTAAATCCACACCGTTACCAGGCTCTATGCGGCAGCAATTCGAGCCTGTGGACGAGGTTAGTCTACGAGTTACTGTACCATTATTGTGCATGCATTGTAAATGATAGCCTATACTGATCATTTATCTAAGTGGACATCATACAAATCAGGCTACTTCTTACTGGCAAGAAATTGCACAAACAGACCCATACCAGACACACAGTTGTGTATTACTATACTTGTGAGGACTTTTTGGGGACCAACAATAGATTCCCATTCAAAATCCTATTTTCCCTAAACCCAACCTTAACCCAAAACCTAACCCTAACTCCTAAACCTTAATCCTTTTCCTTTTTAGGACAGGCCAAATGTCACTTGTCCGAATTCTATTTTCTAGTCCTCACAAGTATAGTAAAACAAAAAAAGCACACGCACACACACACACCCCTTTCTACCCCTATCTCCCCAGCCACTCACCATTAGTGCTGTGCCGGGCTCCAGTGTAACGGGCAGTGTCATCCTTCCCTGCAGGTTGAGTTTAGTCAAATAGAAAACCTTCTCGCCCAACACCTAACATAAATAATAATATAATAATATATTTAGCAGATGTTTTTATCCAAACTGACTTACAAAAATGATTGCATACATGTTTGTTTTTTCCCCAAACCTTCTCCTTCTTCATCCTCCTGATGCTGTAGAGGCGGAACCGGACTGCGTGGTCCGCCAGTGCCTCCTGCTCCACCCGGGAGAAGCGGAAGGTCTCTGTGAACACTGGGCACGGCCCCCTCTGCACCCCCGTCTTGGCCCGCTGCTTCTTAGTGGGCAGTAGTACCAGGTGTACCTACATAGGTAACACTTTACTTAAAGCAGCGCTGCCCAACCATCTTCCTGGAGATCTATCGTCCTGCAGGTTTTCAGTCCAAACCTAACCTAACATACCTGATAAGGTGTGCTAAATTAAGGTGGCAGATTTCCAGGAGGAGAGTTTGGTATAATGCTTTATAGCTTGTTATAGGCATGTATGAGCCTTTATAATGCCTTATCATAAGGTTTATAATATGTTTTGTCTAATTTTGTAAACTCAGCAAAAAAAGAAACGTCCCTTTTTCAGGACCCTGTCTTTCAAAGATAATTCATAAACATCCAAATTACTTCACAGATCTTCATTGTAAAGGGTTTAAACACTGTTTCCCATGCTTGTTCAATAAACCATAAACAATTAATGAACATGCACCTGTGGAACGGTCGTTAAGACACTAACAGCTTACAGACGGTAGGCAATTAAGGTCACAGTTATGAAAACTTAGGACACTAAAGAGGCCTTTCTACTGACTCTGAAAAACACCAAAAGAAAGATGCTCAGGGTCTGCGTGAACGTGCCTTAGGCATGCTGCAAGGAGGCATGAGGACTGCAGATGTGGCCAGGGCAATAAATTGCAATGTCCGTACTGTGAGACGCCTAAGACAGCGCTACAGAGAGACAGGACGGACAGCTGATCATCCTCGCAGTGGCAGACCACATGTAACAACACCTGCACAGGATCGGTACATCCGAACATCACACCTGCGGGACAGGTACAGCATGGCAACAACAACTGCCCGAGTTACACCAGGAACGCACAATCCCTCCATCAGTGCTCAGACTTTCCGCAATAGGCTGAGAGAGGCTGGACTGAGGGCTTGTAGGCCTGTTGTAAGGCAGGCCCTCACCAGACATCACCGGCACCAACGTCGCCTATGGGCACAAACCCACCGTCGCTGGACCAGACAGGACTGGCAAAAAGTGCTCTTCACTGACGAGTCGCGGTTTTGTCTCACCAGGGGTGATGGTCGGATTTGCGTTTATCGTCGAAGGAATGAGCGTTACACCGAGGCCTGTACTCTGGAGCGGGATCAATTTGGAGGTGGAGGGTCCGTCATGGTCTCGGGCGGTGTGTCACAGCATCATCGGACTGAGCTTGTTGTCATTGCAGGCAATCTCAACGCTGTGCGTTACTGGGAAGACATCCTCCTCCCTCATGTGGTACCCTTCCTGCAGGCTCATCCTGACATGACCCTCCAGCATGACAATGCCACCAGCCATACTGCTCATTCTGTGCGTGATTTCCTGCAAGACAGGAATGTCTTCCATGGCCAGTGTTCTTCCATTGCCAGCGAAGAACCCGGATCTCATTCCCATTGAGCATGTCTGGGACCTGTTGGATCGGAGGGTGAGGGCGAGGTGGAAGAGTGGGGTAACATCTCACAGCAAGAACTGGCAAATCTGGTGCAGTCCATGAGGAGGAGATGCACTGCAGTACTTAATGTAGCTGGTGGCCACACCAGATACTGACTGTTACTTTAGATTTTGACCCCCCCCCCCCCCTTTGTTCAGGGACACATAATTCAATTTCTGTTAGTCACATGTCTGTGGAACTTGTTCAGTTTATGTCTCAGTTGTTGAATCTTGTTATGTTCATACACATGTTAAGTTTGCTGAAAATAAACGCAGTTGACAGTGAGAGGACGTTTATTTTTTTGCTGAGTTTATAATTTCCATATAACTTCAACTGAAGCAGATGCTCTTATCCAGAGCAACTTGCAGTCAGTGCTGGCAACTAAGGAAGGTACGATCACATATCACAATCATTGCAAGTAAAACTTTCTTCAAAATAGCCGCTATCAGCAAAATCAGTGCTAGTAAGAAAATATGTTTAAGTGTGAGAGCAAGAAAGACAAGTACAACAGTAAAGTTCACCTGCCACGCGATGTTGCCTGTCTGTTTGAGCGCAGGGATGTCGGTTGCCGCGGTGACAGTGACAACGAGGTGTTGCTCGCCCGAGTCATACTCGAAGGCCACGTCCAGCGTGCCGTACTTGGCCAGTGGCTCGGGCTCATAGCCCACAGGGAGCTGGGAGGGTGAACCATCCTGTGAGGGGAGGGGGGGAGAGAGAGAGAGCGAGCAAGAGCGAGAGAGAGAGAGAAAAGAGAAAGAGAGACAGAGAGAGAGAGAGAGAGAGAGAGAATGAAAATATGCATTTTAATGCATGAATCTGTTAGTCAGTCCTCATCTGCGACATCACAGAGTGAGGGTAGATATAGGCCCTTAGAGCAGGACACAGCACTGGGTGAAGGGGAGATGGGATGGTGAACCATCCTGTGGGAGGGGGGTGTTAGAGAGACAGAGAGTGAAAGAGAGAAAGAGGAGAGAGGGAGGATGATAAGATTCATTTTAATGCATGAAACCACAAGGTTCGAGCAAGCCCCCCCCCCCCCCCCCCCCCATACACACACACACACACATTTTGAGGCTGAGAGAAAATGTTGCTGTTTTAGAGCTCAGGGATTCTGGAAAGACGGGACAATCTTTTCCCACAAATATTTGTCTTAATATTAACAAAATGTGAAATACAGTATATATTTTGATAGATCAAAGTATCAGCTATCACACCATGTTTAGTTTTTTTAATCATAAAATGCAACTCCGTCAGACACCATGAAAGACATTTCACCAAAAAGTGTTTAAAGGCATTGATTGTTTAATTCTAACATTAGATTATTCAAATATGTCATACAAATCTTTTATAGCACTATTAAATGCTCCAGGGCAAAAATATTTAGCATTTTGGCATCATTTTCTAGATTTAGAACATAAAAAAACATTTATAAAGCAAACATTATCCCTTAGGTCTAGCACAGCAAACACTTCCATTGTTTAAGCAATTGTTATAGAACAGTGATTAAACAATCTTTTCAGGATATTGACCCCAAAAAATATTTTAAGGGGGTTAGCCATCAGTGACGGAGTTGACAACAGATACTCAAAACAGACATATTTTTGCCTCTACACATAAAAGTTCAATACAAACACTTGTAAAATATGGAATCCCAATAACTTTACAGACCATGAGTGGTCTTGTTGCACTACATGTAATGAGGACATGAATAAGGGGTCCTTATGGTATAGCTGACCCTGCTCATTCCTGATTCATTTAGGATTTTTTACAAATCTGACGGAGTTCACCAAATCTCCGGACACATCTTTTATGAATCATTGTTTTGAGAAACAATATTCTTTAAAGTCACAGAAGGCTATTGCAAGAAACTACATAATATAATTTCTCAGTTAATATCCATTATTAAACACTTTTTAGAGTTTGAAATTGGGATTGTTTGCTCCGGACAAGTACATTTCCAGGCATAGAGCCAACATGGAAATGAATAATATTGAAAGTATTTTGAAAATTCCCAAAACAAATATTTTCCTTATAAAATTCCCCTAAATGTACATTTTAAATTCAAATAATCCAACAAAATAAAAATGTCAACTATAGAAATATAGTTTCCCTGCCGGACAAGGATTATCCCGACTTTCAAGAATCCCTAAGCTATTTTCCTGCTATTCTACACATTTTGCCATGAGGCTGAGATACATTTGTGTTTGGGCCCCCCCACCTTGCGGGGTTTGTGTTACACCAGTGAGCATGCCCAGGTAGTGTTGGCATGCCTGGCTAGCATGACACAGTTTCCTATAGGAAATGCTAACAGTCCACCATCTGGTGTATGAGTGTCTTTGTCCTAGCTCACCTCTGGTCCCAGGACGGCAGTGCTGTCACTAGGTACATCCTCATCATAGCCCTTGTTGAGGTAACTCGTAGTGTCCTGGTCAACGCTGGCCTCGCTGGAGCACCTTGTACCATTGCCGTCTGGGTACGAATCCTCAAGGCCCCCTGCTTCCGACCGCGAGCGAGACACCCGGACCGGTCTATCCACGTCCTGATACGGGGGAGGCTGGAGCTCGTTGAGTGGAGAGCCCCGTCTCATCCGCTGGATATTGTCGGCTGTGGAACAGAGTGATGGATACGATTAATCTGTGACTTAGTAAACATCTTGGATGTGTGTGTGTGCATGCGTTTCTATGTCTGTTGTCACATCAATGATTTTCTCACTTTGTCCAATGGAGGCCTCACTGCTGTGATCACTGGTGGGTTTATGTCTGTTGTCCCAGACTGAGGCTCTGTGCTGGGCTGAGGGTTCAGAGTGTCTCCCTGATCTGTCCTCCTCACTGTCCTCCTCAGAGCCACGCTCTGGGCAGCTCTGGTCTGGACAAACAGATACACACACAAGATCATAGTACATCATGACAATCAGCCAACATAAGACACAACTTATGTCCCCCAAAAATGTAAGGAGCATTTTTTTTACCCATATTCCATCTCCCTGTTTCAAAAATCTATTTCATGTTCTCCAGATAGGAGAAGTAGTAGATATCAGACTGATAAGAATGGATACTACACTTGATCTTAGCTGAACGTCAGAGAAGAAAATTATCATATTTCTAACTGGTAAGCTATTCCGCTATCACATCTATAACAATCATTTGAGAGAAATAGGTAAAGCCGTGAGGAGAAAGAACTGAAAGTGTAAACATGACAGCCACAGACAGCATTATAACTTTTGACTTCAGTTCATTAACATGTCACAGAAGAGGTGGTAGAAGAGTGTAGGAGGAGAGATCCAGAGAGACATTTGGAGGGAAGCAGCATACCCTCTCACCTTTATCCCCTGTCTTCTTCTTCTTGTCACTCTCTTTCTTCTCTTTCCCCTTCTCTTTCTTCTCTTTCCCCTTCTCTTTCTTCTCTTTCCCCTTCTCTTTCTTCTCTTTCCCCTTCTCTTTCTTCTCTTTCCCCTTCTCTTTCTTCTCTTTCCCCTTCTCTTTCTTCTTGTCACTCTCTTTCTTCTCTTTCTCAGAAGCAGGAGATATAGCGGCTTCAGTCTCGTTCCGCTCTCCATCTCCCTCAGGGCTCACCTCATTCTCCTCCTCTTCAGCTTCCCCCTTCTTTTTCTTTTTGGATGCTCTCGACTCTTCCTCATGGCAAGGAGATTGTGGTGGATCGCTATGGTCGTCACTCTGGTGGACCCCATTGGATTTGTCCTCTTTCTGGCCCTTTTTGTCCTGACAAGTAGCGTGGTTCTCTTTAGGGGACAAGCTGGTTTCTATATCTTCGGGCTCTTCCTCTATGGTCTCCTGATGGCTATTTTTCTTCTCCTCCACCTGTTTCAGCCTCTCCTCCTCCTTCTTCTTCTCTTCTTCCTTCCTTTTCTCCTCCTCCTTCTTCTTCTCTTCCTCCTTCCTTTTCTCTTCTTGTTCCTTGTCCTCCGCAGAACTCTCCCCTGGTTTTACGGCTCGCCAGCCTCCGTCTTTCCACACCCATTCCAATTGGGCTGGAACATAGTCCTCTGCGGTCACGTCACTCGATTGGTTGTTCTTCAAACCGAAGTCACTGGATTGGTTAAGCTTGGAGCTGTAGTCTGTCAAGCTTGAGCAGGCCTCAGAAGCCTGCCGCTTGATTTTGCTCCTCACTGACTCGGCCATCCCTTCCTGGGCCTTCCGTTCCTTGCTGTCCTGGCCCCCCTTTGCCGTTTCCGCAGCCTCCTCCTCCTCTGTCTGCACCTTCTTGATGACCTGGTCGCTGAGCTCGGTCAGCTGGTCACTGACGCTGTAGGTGGCATCAGTGACAGCGCTGGCTAGGTTGTCCACTCTGCTGCTGACTGAATCCAAGATGGAGGAGATGTTGACAGATGGTAGGTTTTGACCGAAGCTCTTGAAGAACGCCATGTTTGGTGGATTCGCTGATGACTGGGGCTTCTGTCCTTCTCCACACTGTCTGGTGGGTTCTAGATTATCTCATCATCTCAGCTCTGGCAGGGACATTTGGTTCATGAGAGTGTGTGGTCCAGGTATTACTGTCTGACATCCATGACTTACACTTTATACAAGTATGAGGAGGAGAATCTGTGGTAGGGAATAAGGATAATGTCTATTCACAACATTCTCACCCACAAGCATGTATCTCACCAGCTCTGATTCGCCGGTCTACTGAGCCACCGGAATGAGCGCACCACCTCGGCAACACCGGAATGGAAACCCAACGCACCCTAATCACCTCCAGCGCACCTGCACCTCATCATCTCATCACCACCACTATATAGCCCTGGACTGTTCAGTGATGTGTTGTGTGTGATTGTTAGTGTCTTGTCGTGTACTCGCTCTTTGTTGTTCTCTTGCTCAGTGTTAAGTAAACCTTTAAAACTGTTGATGTCTGCGTCCTGCCTCTTCATATCCTCAGTACTCATCACATAGTCAGACAATCATACTGTATATATGGATTTATTTGTATCATTTTGGGACAATTTCCTAGACCCATATTAAGCCTAAACCTGGACAAGAAAAATATTATTTTCAGTCCAGAACTAGGCTTAATTTTTGTCAGAGAAACTAGCACAGGCCCATAGAACAATAAACAAACTGTTTACAGACTTTGAGTGTTATACACCTTGACGGGTTTACCTTGCTGGTCGGGCCTATAGTCGTCTAGACATGACAGGTCACTTGTGCTCTCCACTGACAGCTTGTTGCTGAGGTAAAGAAAAAAGACAGCCATCAGGGCCATGAAGGCCGCAATGGAAGACAGGACCCCTAGCAGCTCAGGAGACACTGAGGAGGGAGAGAGAGAGGTAGGGAGAGAGGTAGGGAGAGAGAGAGAGAGAGAGAGAGAGAGAGAGAGAGAGAGAGAGAGAGAGAGAGAGAGAGAGAGGAGAACAGACAGACAGACATATATAGACATAAAAGAAGAGGGGGAGAAGACAACAGAGACAAATGAAGGAGACAGTGTGAGTATGCTCCCTAGTGAATGACCCGATAGTGTCACCATCACAGTACAGTTCAGTTTGTGATTCATTTTTCACTTGAAAGGCTCAGCAGACACTTTTATGCAGGCCAACAACACTTCATGTTACTAAGCAGCATCCCACTGTTCTTGCTGATGTGCTATTTTTACTGGAGGCCTCTGAGTTTCACTGATAAGCAGATACATTTACATTTAAGTCATTTAGCAGATGCTCTTATCCAGAGCGACTTACAGTTAGTGAGTGCATACATTTTCATACTGGCCCCCCGTGGGAAACGAACCCACAACCCTGGCGTTGCAAGCGCCATGCTCTACCAACTGAGCTACAGGGGACCAGAGATACAGGGACAAACAGGGACAAACCAACTCTTGGGCACAAATAGCTTTAAAGGGATATTACAGTCAAAAATGTAAGTTTGTCAGATGTCAAGATGAATCCATGTCTCACGCCATCAATTCTGTCGATCCATCTATATGCCTCAACCCCAAATGAATGGAAAGAGTAAGCACCAAATAAGATCTGGAAATGATATGGTGCTTATCTTTCCCATTCATTTGGGGTTGTAGTTGGAATTGTAGTTATGGAAACAGGGTAGTTAATGGACAATATACAGGCCATTGAATAGCCACAGGTGTATGAGTGGGCGTTAAGTTACAAAAATTACACAGAGCTGCCAGAAAGGTTCCGAACATACATCAAAGGTCCACATGAGAGCCTCCATTTAGATCTGACATGCACATGCACTGCCACAGAACAATTCAGAAACAATGAGAATCATTCAGAAACTATGAAGGGTCGTTGGCAGAGTATCGTGGGCGGAAGATCATCAATATGAAAACTTCTATTGCCTGAGGAGTGAAGGCATTACAGCTCTCGTTCACACTACATCTCCAGAGGAAAAGGTCCACCATTCATCCAACCCTGACTGAGTTCAGAAGGAACTACTTCTCGTGGACTATCTCTTCTTCTCACCATGGCAACAGGCAGAGACCACTAAAGCCTGAGAACTGACAAGAAGTAGTGGCTTCTCCTGTCTCCTTCTCTCCCAAAAGGATAGACTGATAGTCAAAGCTCAGCGAAAATAGGGAAAGAGAGGGAGAGATATGAGAACAATAACCCATGTGCACAGCTCACCTTCTCCATTCTAGCAGCCTTCAATTCAGTATGTGTCTCAAATGCCTCACGTCTAGCCTACGGTGAATTCTTCCATTCTGTCAAAACAGCAGTGTTGTGTGTTGTTCCTCTTAGTGGTAATCCGGTTATCCAAGGTAATTATTGAGTCTAACACAAAGAAAATGACTTTCTAATAAGTCCAAAACCACAAAAATTGGTTATGATCCTAATATTGAGTCCAACATAACCAAAAGCTGTAACAACGCTTCGAGACCATGTGGTGATCTTTCGCATTTGGTAAAACAATTCCTTGATTCTCAACACCCAACACCTGACACAGTTACAGTACCCATCCTCTCTCACTGGTGACAATTCTGGTAATTGAGTCAAATTCGGTCCTGAAGTGACCCTGAAGTCCAAAAGCCAGGCTTAACTGTACTGTGCTGTATGTCCCTGTCCCTGACCTGAGTGTGGTGGTGACACTTCCTAAGCTACTGCTGTGAGCATGTCAACTGCTCCTAAATAATTCAAACACCTGCAGTAACCGGATGCCTCTCTCATTGACAGACGCTGGTGGAGCGTTAGCCATTAGCTAGCCCCATGCTAACCTGACCTGAACCTGTATTCACAAAGTCTCAGAGTATAAGTGCTGATTTAAGATCAGTTTTGCCTTTTAGATCTTAATGAAGATGATTATATGGACAGGGAGAGCTGATCCTAGATCAGCACTCGTAGTGAGATGCTGTTGTCCCGCTCTGCACTCACTAAGGATTACTGTTATAAGGCAATGGAGGCTGGTGGTGAGTGAAGTCATGGATACTGTGGACTTATTCATCTCATACTGACAGATGGGATGGGTTCGTATGATGAGTTTCCATAGCAGAAGAGTGGATTTGTTGTGTGTGTGTGTGTGTGTGTGTGTGTGTGTGTGTGTGTGTGTGTGTGTGTGTGTGTGTGTGTGTGTGTGTGTGTGTGTGTGTGTGTGTGTGTAAGAGCAGGGGTGGAGGTGAATGGGTAGTGGTGTGTGTGCGTGTGTGTGCGTGTGTTTGTGTGTATGTACAGTATGTATGTGTGTGTGTGTGTGTGTGTGTGTGTGTGTGTGTGTGTGTGTGTGTGTGTGTGCGCGTGTGTGTGTGTGTGTGCGTGTGCATGTGCATGTGTTTGTGTGTGTGTTGTGTTTTCCCAAGGGCAATCTATGAACCGAGCATCAGAGAAAGAAAACAACAACCACGTTCTGCTGTACAGTATGTGAACTGAACTTGAACTCCCAAGCCGCAGGGCTACATTTGTTTTCCAGGTAACAGAAACAAAATTCTGTAAAATGCAGTTCACAAAAAAAAAAACGAATTTAAAGTAAAAGAACATGAACATATGACATCCAACTAATGGAGTATATGTTAACAGCCGAGTTCCTCTGACAAATGTGTACCATGTTTGTAATGAAATAATAGTCTATGATATGACAATTAAATATTGCTAAGAAGAAAAGAAAAAAAGGCCATATTTATTCTAGTATTTCCTCTTTGCATAATTCGCTGTTTACATTCAGACAAAAAAATAAATGCTTTATTGTCACATACACCAGATAGGTGCAGTGACATGTGTTGTTTTACAGGGTCAGCCAATAGGAGTACAGCACCCCTGGAGCAAATTATGGTTAAGTGCCTTGCTCAAGGGCACATTGACAGATTTTTCACATTATCGGCTCTGGTATTAGAACCAGCTACCTTTCGGTTACTGGCCCACAGCTCTAACCGCTAGACTACCTGCCGCCTGACTAGCTGAGCATGGTAGCAATGGCAATATTTGTTGAACTCTTTTTCAGGACCCAGTATCAGAGTGCCATTGTATGCGTGTTTGAGGTTACTAAGGAAATGTAGGGCACATTTATTTAAACGAAAGTGGTTAATCTGCAAACGTTGCTTACATATGCCCCCCCCCCCCCCCCCATATATGAAACAAAACCTATGTGGTAAATAAATCATGAATACTGTTGCCTTCTCTGGAGAAGAGGTCTAAAACTTGACATGCCACACATTCATAATTCACACACCAGTGGAGGCTGGTGGGATGAGCTATAGGAGGAGGGATCATTGTAATGGCTGGAATGGAATTTTTTGGAACGGTATCAAACATATGGAAACGACATGTTTGACTCCGTTCCATTAATTTAATTTCAGCCATTACAATGAGCCCGTCCCCCTATAGCTCCTCCCACCAGCCTCCACTGTCACACACAGATATAGAATCTTCTAGAAGTGTGTAACTATAGAGTAGCCCTATATACTCAAAAGTTCCAAACAAGCAAAACAGATAGCTAAGTGCTTTGATGGAGCCATCTCTCTACTTTTAGGGGGATACAAGTACAGTCAAGCAGACAGTCAAGGAAGTATAGAGTACATTAGAGTACAGACAGAGAGACAGACAGACAAACAGGACGGCCCCCCGATCTTACCTCGTCTGGCACAGATGAGCTCATGCACGCCACAGCTCCTCCCACCACCACCTAAGGGGTAAGTACGAGCGTCAGGGGTCAGGGGTTAAGATATTGCTCTGGGTCTAAAGGACGCCATATGTTGGCTCCTATGTTGGCTCCTCCATAGGCTACTGAGGCAGATGTCACACTAATTAACTCGAGCCAACTAATCTCATGGAGTTATCAAGTGTTTAATTACATTCAATTAGATTTATCAAGGCACTGTCCCATTACATATTGAGAAGCTCTTTCACTGGAGGAATTCACTAAAGGGTTCAATTCCTTATCTGTGAGTAATCATAACTGAATAGGGGTTTAAAATGGAACAAAACGTGTCTGTCCATTAAAGCGTTTAATTGAAACGTTGAGAAGTAAAATAGAACAGAGAACACAGAGTATACTTATATACAGTGCCTTCAGAAAGTATTCAGACCCCTTGACTTTTTCCACATTTTGTTACGTTATATAAAGTATATACTTATGTAAATAAGCTATTTCTGTTTTTATTTATAATATATTTGCAAAAAAATCTAAAAACCTGTTTTCACTTTGTCATTATGGGGTATTGTATGTAGATTGATGAGGATTGTTTTGTTTTTACTCCATTTTAGAATAAGGCTGTAACGCAACAAAATGTGGAAAAAGTAAAGAGGTCTGAATACTTTCCGAATGCACTGTAAATAGATCAATGTTCTTAACCCCGTATCCCAACCTTCACAAACTCATAAGACAATAAAGACAAACACACATGAATACACAAACACACACACACACACACACAGAGACAGACACATACTTGGCACTATGCCATGTAGGACTTACTGTTCTGAGTGGCTACAGAGAGAGTGCACTATAGTTCTTAGTCATACAGTAGCTCCGGCTCTTGGCTCTTCACCCTCAAACTACACTCTCACTACTGAATGTGTACTATACTCCCTATGGAGTGTGAGTTTACAGAGACAGAGCACACACAGGAAGTCAACATTGAAGAAGGAAATAGAAAGACATCACTGAGGTCAATAAGGCAGCAAGGGCAGTCAGGGCACTGAGGCAACCTCTCTCCTTTCACACAAATCAACCTCTACACTACTCTGTCTTGTGAGTCTAAGCCACTTGACTAACAGCTTGGTTAACGCTTTCCTTCCCCGTTGAGGTTGCTCAAATAGTGCAAAACAGGCTACTGCTTAGAAATGTATGATGCTTTTACTTTGACAGTAGCCCTATATGACCAGTAGAGCTTTTCTATCAGTCTCTTTTTCTATCTTTTCTATCAGCCATGTAGCAAACAAGTCAGGTAAAAACCAAAACCACTTTAAAATAGGCAAAGCATTTCTATCTTCTGCAATATCTGTAGCTTACAGAAAATGCTTCCTATTTGCTCTCAATGCCATTTTCTGTTGAGCCGAAGCCTGCCTCCTAAAAAAAATGGATATAGGTTACAGAAAAGCTAAGCCTAAGTAATTGATAAACATTTCGTGTATTTACACCAATGACCAGTAAAGTATAGATGAGTATTGGCTAAGGACCAGCACATTCACCAGCTGACAGCTGAGAGTATCTCCTCTCTCTCTTCCCTCTCATATCACCACATTTGCCAGGTGTGACTGCAGCACTTCCAGTGCTGAGATGGGATAGCAACCAACACGTGACCACGTAGCCTATAAATGTGTATCACATACAGTATTGCCCAGAAGCAGCCATGCAGCTTTTAATCTATACATTTTCGGAGCTTTAAAAAGACAAACTGACAGGTAGGCTACCTTTGACAGCATTTATCTGACTGCACCACTCCTCAAGTTCCCATCCTATTATCCTATAATAAACTTGAACACTTACTAGGCTATGCTACCCTGTTTCTAACGAAGCATTTGTGTAGCCTATCAAGATTTGGACACGTTCATGCATACGACTAAGCTAAGACAACGTAATGTCCGACTCACATTTATTGTATTGGTCGCTGTCCACTTCAGCACCACTTCGCGCGGTTCAGTAAAGTGTCACGCGCGCGCATCCGATAAAGGTACCGCAACATCCCTGCCTCTTGCGTCTACTCTTCAGCATTCCGTCTCGCTATGTAGGCTGCCTACAGCCCAAGCTGACCGGACACAGCAATGTGCATCTATATCATTACTAGACATCTATCTTGCTGAATAAATGGTACTGTCACAAAGCATTCTAGCTATGTCCCATGCAAGTTGGCGGTGTACTTACCATCAATCGCCATGATGTTCTGTTTCGGACTGGTCCAAGGCAAGGGGGTGAAAACTGGGAGTAAGTTATTATTCTGTTTGAAGGAGGGGGGCATTGTTTGACGCTGTTCATCGACACCGCACACTGACTGTAGAGAACTAGTAGGTTACTGTGCGATGAGAACTAGTAGGTTATTTGCAATGAATAGTTTAATAATTGTTCATTTGCATGATGGATTATGTATAAAAAAGTGTATAGGTCAACATTAATGCATTATGTGTGTATCAAATAGGCTATTTTATGTAATGCATACTGTCATTAAGTAAAAATATTTGTCATATTTATACACTGAACAAAATTATAAACGCAAAATGTAAAGTGTTGGTCCCATGTTTCCTGAGCTGAAATAACCGATCCCAGAAATGTTCCATACACACTAAAAGCTCATTTCTCTCAAATTTTGGGAGATGTTTACATCCCTGTTAGTGAGCATTTCTCCTTTGCCAAGATAATCCATCCACCTGACAGGTGTGGCATATCATGAAGCTGATTAAACAGCATGATCACTGCACAGGTGCACTTTAAAATGTGCAGTTTTGTCACACAACACAATGCCACAGATGTCTCAAGTTTTGAGGGAGCGTGCAATAGGCATGCTGACTGCAGGAATGTCCACCAGAGCTGTTGCCAGAGAATTGAATGTTAATTTCTCTACCATAAACTGCCTCCAACGTCGTTTTCGAGAATTTGGCAATACCTCCAACCGGCCTCACAACTGCAGACCACGTTTAACCACGCCAGCCCAGGACCTCCACATCTGGCTTCTTCACCTGTGGGATCGTCTGAAGGGGGATGGGGGGGTATTTCTGTCTGTAATAAAGCCCTTTTGTGGGGAAAAACTCATTCTGATTGGCTGGGCCTGGCACCCCAGTGGGTAGGCCTGGCTGCCAAGTAGATGGGCCTATGCCCTCCCAGGCCCACCCGTGGCTGACCCCTGCCCAGTCATGCTCAATCCACAGATTAGGGCCTCATTTATTTATTTCAATTGACTGATTTCCTTATATGAACTGTAACTCAGTAAAATCTTTGATATTGTTGCATGTTGCGTTTATATTTTTGTTCAGTATAGTTTCATAAATCTAATGGAAATTGTGTAGTTATCAATATTAATCCGTTTTTCCATTATTGCATGTTCTGTGTTTTTGTGCTGGTATCAACTTGATTACAATGAATTGGTAATAACGCCCAGATAAACAGTAACTATATGGCGGGCTTTGACTTTATGGAAAAAGTATCCAGATAATGTGCTTAAAATGAAAGTGTATGAGAACATTTTTTTTTTCCTTTTTTTTTTCAGAATGACACAGAGCGAGCATGAGATGCATCCAGCTGCAGCCCCACAGCAGCCTGTAACTAAAAATAGCCTGTCACTAAAACCAATACTATAGCCATCTACTGGCTGCCATTAATCCCTACCACATATATGTGAACTCCTTTTCTTTCCTAGATTCCTTTCCTCACTCCCTTTCCTCCTTTGCTAGCTTCATTTTTTTCCCTCTCTACTGGCAGTGGTTAACCCCTACGAACTCTTCCTTTTATTTTCTAGATTCCTTTCCACCTTTCCTCGCTCCCTTTCCTTTCCTTCTTTCCTAGCTTCCTTTCCTCCTTTCCTAATTTCCTTTCCTCTCTACTGGCCGTGGTTAAAGGGATCCCGAATATTTATCCCTTTAATCCCTACCACATAAATGTGAACTCCTCCTTTTCTTTACTAGGTTCCTTTCCTACTTTCCTAGCTCCCTTTCTTTTCCTCCTTTCCTAGCTTCCTTTGCTCCTTTCTTAACTTCCATATCTCCCTTTCCTTGTCTCCTTTCATAGCGCCTTTCTTCCTTTCCTAGCTCCCTTTTCTAGCTTCCTTTCCTTTACTCCTTTTCTTTCCTAGATTCCTTTCCTTCTTTCCACGCTCATTTTCCTTTCCTAACTCCATTTATTTTTCTCCTTTCCTAGCTTCCTTCCCTACCTCCCTTTCCTCTCCTCCTTCCATATCTCTCTTTCCTTATCTCATTTCCTTTCCTAGCTCCTTTCCTCCTTTACTAGCTCCCTTTCCTAGATTCCTGCCTTTCCTTCTTCCTTTCATTTCCTCTCTACTGGCCATGGTTAATCCTAGGAAAGGAGGAAAGGAAAGGAAGCTAGGAAAGGAGGAAAATAAAGGAGTTAGGAAAGGAGGAGGGGAAAGGGAGCAAGGAAAGGAAGAAAGGAATCTATGAAAGAAAATGAGGAAATTTTATAAATAAGGAAAGGGAGCTAGGAAAGGAGATAAAGAAAGGGAGATAGGGAAGGAGGCGAGGAAAGGGAGGTAAGGAAGGTAAGGAAGCTAGGAAAGGAGGAAAGGAAGCTATGAAAGGAAAGGATAAGGAAAGGGAGATAGGGAAGGAGGAGAGGAAAGCTAGGGAAGAAAAGGAAGCTAAGAAAGGAGAAAAAGAAACGGAGCTAGGAAAGGAGGAAAGGAAAGGGAGCGAGGAAAGGAATCTAGAAAAAAAAGGAGGAAAGAAAAGGAAGAAGGAAAGGAAGCAAGGAAAGGGATATAGGAAAGGTAAGGAGATAAGGAAAGGGAGCTAGGAAAGGAGGAAATTAAAGGGATCGAGGAAAGGGGGAAAGGAATCTAGGAAAGAAAAGGAGGAAAGGAAAAAAAGTTAGGAAAAGGGAGCTAAGAAAGGAGAAAAGTAACTAGGAAAGGTAAGGATATAAGGAAAATGAGATAAGGAAGGAGGAGAGAAAATGGAGGGAGGGAAGGAAAGGAAGCTAGGAAAGGAGGAAAGGAAGCTAGGAAAGGATGAAAAGAAAGGGGAAAGAGGGAAGGATGAAAGGAATCTAGGAAAGAAAAGGAGGAGTCCACATTTATGTGGTAGTGATTAACCACGGCCAGTAGAGAGGAAAGGAAAGGAAGAAGGACAGGAAGTTAGAAAAGGAGGAAAGGAAACTAGGAAAGAAGGAAAGGAAGCTAGGAAAGAAGGAAAGGAAAGGGAGCATGGAAAGAAGGAAAATAATCTAGGAAAGAAAAGGAAGAGTTCACATGAATGTGGTAGGGATTAACTAGGGTCAGTAGAGAGGTAAGGAAATGAAGTTAGAAAGGAGGGAAGGAAAGGAAGCTAGGAAAGGAGGAAAGGAGGAAAGGGAGTGAGGAAAGGAGGAAAGGAATCTAGGAAACAAAAGGAGGAGTTCACATGTATGTGGTAGGGATTAACCACGGCCAGTAGGTGGCGATAGTATTGGTTTTAGTGACAGGCTAGTTTTAGTAACAGGCTAGTTTTAGTCACACTTGAACAGAGTAAATAGAATGGCATCAAATGCATGGAAACCATGTGTTTTATGCAGGGCCAGTTCCAGGCAAAAGCGACATGAGCAGTCACTTTGGGCCCCCGGCCCTAAAAAACCCCCCATACTATTAAGAGTAAGAATGTTAGAATACACAAGGTGCAATTTCGAAATTTGGTTGTGCATCAGCAGTTTTTCTCGTTATGTCAGTCACTGACAGTCACTCAATTAGCCATGTCAGCTAACAATGTTTAGATGGGTAGTTAGTCTAGACAGTTATCTAAATTTGTAGTAATCTTGGCTGAATACCGACCAGGCAAGCAGGGCACGTGCCCATTGGCCCTGACCTCCAGGGGGCCCCCATTGGTTTTGTTAGTCATTCTCACTCAGAAATCATATTAACATGTCATAGGTCATTACAAAATGTGTAGAATTGCAGAAAACTTGCTTTAAAACTTAAATATGCACTATGCATAAATCGGTCCACCATTTCCTGGTTGCTAAAATTCTAATAGTTCGCTTAATTTCAGTTTATGAGACAAAACAAGCAAGTATAGTGTAGATAATCATTGTACCATCTAAACCGCTCTGAAATATATTTTCCATAACCAAAAATATTGTATTTTCAGGTGTTTGAAGCTGGTGTACAAAACTGAAAGTAAAAGGATGCAACAACTAAACTTAAGAACGGGAAGCATAGAAATAGAACATAGAACATATCTACCGCTTCTTAGACTTGCTTTCAATGAGAATGACAGATCTATAACACACATTTCAATGTGAATTTGGTAAGATTGCCCAAAAAGTTACATATTGCAGCTTTAACATTTTCTCTCCACCATCAAGAGGAGGGCCACTAAAATGTTTTGCCACGAGATGGGCTAAAAGGCTATAGCCGGCCCTGGTTTTATGGATTCGATACCATTCCACCGACTCTGCTCCAGCTATTACTATGAGCCCGTCCTCCCCAATTAAGATGCCACCGACCTCCTGTGATTGAGCATCATGGGTAAAAAGACACACACATTGTCACCATCTCGCAAACATTTCCGCAAACTTTCCTGTAGTCGCTTGGTCTGCTCATCTACATCGGGGATCACTGTTACGGAACTATCAGGCTTAAAACGTTTCCATTCCTGGCCAAATATGAGTGAAATCAAAACTACCGATCCAACAGCCACGGAGGCTGGCGAGGAAAAGGACTGGGCAGCAGCAAAAGCCTTTTTTGACAGTTTAAAAACAAAGAAACCTAGACCCGTAAGTGATACATTCGCATTTCTTGTTTGTCTTTTGCAGATAAAATAAGTGGCAATACGGGTATATTAGCCTATTGTTGCTAATCTTGTATCGTCATTTTTTTTTACTATTCTTGTTTTCCAAATAGCCCAAACCCCAGTATGCCGTTACTATCGCCGTCTCCTCTCGCACCCTGTTCAACATGGTTGCAGAGAGTAAGATCTACAAAGAAGACGGGGTCGAGACGTATGTGGCCTATCAACAGGAGCACGACAATGAGCCGCTCATGCCAGGGGTGGCGTTTCCTCTAGTGAAGGTAGGTTAATTCAGAGAGGGATTGAAGGATATGGCCTACCTGCATGTCTGTGCGTGGAAGAGGCAGAGGGTGCCTTTACAAAAGAAAGATTGCAGTAAAAGTGCAGTAACTGCAGTCGACTGTGGTGTTTTGGACGCAGTGATTGCAGAACTGCAGTTACACTGCAAAATGACTGCAGTAAAAAAAGTTATTTTGGACGCAGTATTTGCAGCATCCTGCAGTTATACTGCATTCTAAGTACAGTGTACTGCAGCTATACTGCACTCTAACTGCAATATTTTCTGTAAAGGTGGGGTAGCCCAATAATGGACTAAAGGAGCCTAACATTACTCGTTATGGTCCAAGGACCTTACATTTTTCTATTTATAGGCAAATTGGCTCTGGCAGCAAAAACAGCCAAATACTTAATTTAAACGCAAATCGATTCTCAATTGCAGTGAGGTTCTAGAAACAAAGTCCTCTACTTTCATATCACATCAAAATAATTTCACAAATGCAAAATATACACTTACTGTACACCAGTGGCGGTTAGTGCCTTTCAAGATTAGGAAGGACGACTGTTTTATTTTTTATGAGCATGGCCTTATTTATATTCCATTCACCCAGCTCAATGTAACATCGATAGGTTTAGGCTACTACATGATACTCGAATTTGGTGCACAACAGTTGTCTGTGACCAGGTGCAAAAACCTCCAAGTCAAACCTTCATATCCGCTACACAGCCTACATCGTTACCATATTAACGTTATAGTCAACAAACTAAAACTAACGCATTAGTAAACCCACAATACAATCCATGTGTACAATCACGCAGTACAGCAAGCAGTTTAGCAGTTACAACGGTGGCCCCGGTGACAATAAATGAATACAACTGAAAGCTTACCTTGACTTGGAAGTTTTGCAGTGTTGGATAGGCTTAGCCAGCTAGCTAGCATAAATAGCATTCCTCTCTGAGGCAGGTTGTTGAGTAGGTTGAATTAGCTGCATTAGCTAACTAAGTGAAGGGTAAACTCGGAAGGAAAAAAATACAATGAAATATAGCTAGCTCTCTGTTGCGTTTCCTTAATTTTTGAAGAAATTAATTTGTTAAACTGTTCAACTATTGAGTCAACTACACACCACACTTTATGCACTGCAGTAATAGCTAGCTGTAGCTTATGCTTTCAGTACTAGATTAATTATCAGATTCTTTGATTGGATGGACAAGATGTTAGTTCATACTGCAAGAGCTCTGATAGGTTGGAGGACGTCCTCCGAAAGTCGTCATAATTACTGTATAAGTCTATGAGAGGGGGTGGGAACTAGGGGTGTGAACGTTAAAATGTTTAAACCAAAAAAATAGGATCCTTTAACATTAAGAAAAATCATTTTTTTAAAATCACATTGCAGCTGGCTGGCCTGCTCTTTCTCTTTGCTAATGATTTGTGTGTCTTCAGTCTTTTACGTGTAGAATATCCTTGTCTATTGATTGATGATATGCCCTTCTTTACTGAAGTTGCCAGATACAACTTGATTGCCGATAGATAGGCCTAGTGCATGGTTCTGACTCCGTCTACCTGGTGGCCGACCTACCTATACTGTGCCCCTCCCCTCTCTCTCCAACCCTTGGTAGCTCGCTATGAAAGATGCAAGTGTTTGTTTTCGGAAGTATGGCAACTAATCAGTCTCCTCGTTCCAAAATTACTGAATTTTAGGAGTTCATTCCTAGTGGAAGATGTTTTCTTTCTACTAAAATGTCACGGTATTTAGATTTTTTTTGTTGGGAGAGTGGTCTGCGCGCAGGCAGCTCAAGTTTATTTGATTGACAATTCTGGTCGCCTAGTGATGGATGTTAAGCGGCATTCCTTTACAGACATGTAAAATGCCTGTTCAGTAGCAATTCGGTTTTTAAAAAGTACCCTTACAGACAAACAAACATGCTGTAGCCAAGGTGCATTCAAGGGTATATGACTGCGGTAGATATACAATGCATTCGGAAAGTATTCAGACCCCTTCACTTTTTCCAAAAAATTTTATGTTACAGCCTTATTCTAAAATAGATTACATTTGTTTTTGTTCCTCATCAATTTACACACTATACTATAATGACAAAGAAAAAAACAGGTTTTTAGAAATGTTTGCTAAAAAAATAAAACTAACATTTACATAAGTATTCAGACCCTTTACTCAGTACTTTGTTGAAGCGCCTTTGGCAGCGATTACATCCTCAAGTCTTCTTGGGTGTGACACTACAAGCTTGGCACACCTGTATTTGGGTAGTTTCTCCCGTCCTTCTCTGCAGATCCTCTCAAGCTCTGTCAGGTTGGATGGGGAGCGACGCTCCACAGCTACTTTCAAGTCTTTCCAGAGATGTTCGATCGGGTTCAAGTCCGTGCTCTGGCTGGGCCACTCGAGGACACTCAGAGACTTGTCCCGAAGCAATTCCTGCGTTGTCTTGGCTGTGTGCTTAGGGTCGTTGTCCTGTTGGAAGGTGAACCTTTGCCCCAGTCTGAGGTCCTGAGCGTTCTGGAGCAGGTTTTCATCAAGGATCTCTCTGTACTTTTCTCAGTTCATCTTTCCCTCAATCCTGAGTAGTCTCCCTGCCGCTGAAAAACATCCCCACAGCATGATGCTGCCACACCATGCTTCACCATAGGGATGGTGCCAGGTTTCCTCCAGACATGATGCTTGGCATTCAGGCCAAAGAGTTTAATCTTGGTTTCATCAGACCAGAGAATCGTGCTTCTGATGGTCTGAGAGTCCATTAGGTGCCTTTTGGCAAACTCCAAGCGGGCTGTCGTGCTTTTTACTAAGTAGTGACTTCCGTCTGGCCGCTCTACCATAAAGGCCTGATTGGTGGAGTGCTGCAGAGATGGTTGTCCTTCTGGAAGGTTCTCCCATTTCCACAGAGGAACTCTGGAGCTCTGTCAGAACCATTGGGTTCTTGGTCACCTACCTGACCAAGGCCGTTCTCCCCCGATTGCTCAGTTTGGCCGGGCGGCCAGCTCTAGGAAGTGTCTTGGGGGTTCCAAACTTCTTCCATTTTTAAGAATGATGGAGGCCACTGTTCTTGGGGACCTTCAATGCTTCAGAAATATTTTGGTACCCTTCCCCAGATCTGTGCCTTGACACAATCTTGTCTCTGAGCTCTACGGACAATTCCTTCGACCTCATGGCTTGGTTTTTACTCTGACATGCACTGTCAACTGTGGGACCTTATATAGACAGGTGTGTGTGCCTTTCCAAATAATGTCCAAGCAATTGAATTTACCACAGGTGGACTCCAATCAAGTTGTAGAAACATGATCAATGGAAACAGGGTGCACCTGAGCTCAATTTTGAGTCTCATAGTAAAGGATCTGAATACTTATGTAAATAAGGTATTTCTGTTTTATTTGTAAGAAAAATAAAAAATCTAAACATCTGTTTTTGCTCCTTCATGTTTAAAATTGGTCATTTGTCACATCCTTAGTGAGAACCATGAGCCCCCCAAGGTTTTGTATTGAAGTCAATGTACCCAGAGGAGGACGGAAAATGGCTGTCCTCCGGCTACTCCATGGTGCTGTTGAGGCTACTGTAGTCCTTCAATGCAAAACAGTATTTTAATCAGTTATTTGGTGACGTGAATATATTTACTGTATCTAAAATTGATAACTTAAAAAAAATACACACTATTGAAACATTTCTGAAATTCACTGAGTAGGATGGTATTTCCTGTCCTCCTCTGCTGTACAATGTTTTAACACAGTTGCAGCCAACAGTATTTTTCAGTGACAACACGTTTGTGGCGTCCTCGGAGACGCAGATAGCTAATTAGCACGGGTAGTCGACTCTGTCTTCCGTCTGTTGTCTGTAAACAAGCTCTGTAAAATGGAAATATGTCCATGTGGGGGAGTCTTAACCCTATAAAGGTGTTTTAGGAATTTAACCTTAACATTTTTATAATAATGATAATTCTTGCTGATATGAAATATACGTTCTTTGTTTCCAAAGCCATACCGCAAGCGATCCGTGCTAACGTTTAGAGCTAGCATCAGGGCTGTTAACAACTCCCCCAGCCAGAAGATACTATTGTCAATAGGCACTAAAGGTTATTAGTGTCTATGAATGCGCTGGGATTGCCTTACAACTATATATAAATTCCTTATTGTAGGTGAAGGAGAAACCTCACTCAATATTGCCATTGTCTTGAGGCCTAGCTGAAATGTGTGTAATGCATCCAGAATAGGTTTTTGCTCAGAATTACAATAGCCAATGTTGTTTACCACTGTTACATTTTTACATTTACATTTTAGTCATTTAGCAGACGCTCTTATCCAGAGCGACTTACAGGAGCAATTAGGGTTAAGTGCCTTGCTCAAGGGCACATTTACGTCATTTAGCAGACGCTCTTATCCAGAGCGACTTACAAATTGGTGCATTCACCCTATAGCCAGTTGGAAAACCACTTTACACTTTTTTTTTCTATGCATGGATGCCATTGTGGCAGGTTAATCTGGTTCTTCTACTATAATGGTAGCAGCCACAGGAGTCAAAATTATATGACCATTAGACCATGTTTGAATCAATAGCTGAATGACAAATGTTTAACTCGAGGGAAGACCTCTTGTAATAACATTTATAGTTGGGTGGATTTCTGTTGGGTGGATTGTTGCACAATTGCTGTTATACTAATCTATAATGAGCCTTTTAGCTAATCAGTGGGCAAGGCCAGCCCCCCTGCCAAGATGGGCCAGCCTGTTTTTCTGGTAGGCTGAGGTCATGCAAACTCATATTCAAAGTGAAACAGGGCTTCAGCAAAGATACTTGTTCTGACACTGTCATCAGTTAGACAACATCATGGATTGTAAAAAACTGAAAGGATGGGTGTCACTGCTTATAAACTTGGAGCACATTCCACATTGTCATCTCACTCAAAACATCCTATTTTTTTGGGCAGCTAAAACCATGATTTGGACAAACAGTAAAGTGCATTTGCCTCACGATTCCTGTAATGAAACTGAGCACCCTGGCCCTGTGCCTGTTTCACAGGGACCTGCTGCTGTAATGAGCAAGCCACTCTCCTCTTCCCCCATGCGCTTGAGAGAGAAATGTGGTCTAATCGTTTAACATTTCAAAATGCAATTGCGGGAAATCACCGCTTTGGAAGTTTAGTCTCTTTGTCCCGTTTGAAGAGTGGAGGGCCTCAGCTTTCTCAATAGTCAGCTCAATAGTTTTACAACCAAGATATTTGATATTGCTTTGAGATATGGAGCGGCGTGCGGCGAAATGCACACCGGCCTTTGCGAGGGTATAGGCCGATAGGTCTCATGGGTAGTAGCCTACAACTGCAACATGTTTTTAGGACATAAAATGTACTGTTGGTTGAATACATGGCTACTAGCAGTGGGTATTATATTTAGAGTTATCGATCTAGTTAATGTGTTTTGAGTTTCCACTTCCTCGTGTTGTATCCCAAATTTAATTAGCCTAATGATATTCAAGGTGCACATAAAGATGTATCTCTATTGAACAAAAAAATTCTGGAGTCCTATTTTGACAGTAAAATATAACAAATATAGTCTTAATTGTCATCCCATAATTCATGACAATCACTGGGTTAGGTTGCACAAAATGTATTGAGTCATGCATTCCTGCTTGTACGTGTTAGATGAAACAACTTAGTCTGTCTATTTATTACACTTCTTAATAAAGCACTATGAATGACTTCATAAAATGATTACTCGTAATTTGGGGGGCTGGTGCCAACAACTGTAAAAGTTAGTAGCACCAGTGACACCAGGGGAAAATGTTAGCCTGGAGCCCTGTAATAGTAACTGACCTAGAGACTGCTGCCCTATGTACATAGTCATTGAACACTGGTCACTTTAATAATATTTACATACTGTTTTACCTACTTTGTGTGTATACTGTATTCTAGTCAAGGCTCATCCTATATAACTACTGCTGTACACACCTTTTCTATTCATACATTTTCCATTATGTCTATACACACCATCATATAAACTCAGCAAAACAAGAAATGTCCCTTTTTCAGGACCCTGTCTTTCAAAGATAATTTGTAAAAATCCAAATAACTTCACAGATCTCAATTGTAAAGGGTTTAAACACTGTTTCGCATGCTTGTTCAATGAACCATAAACAATTAATGAACATGCACGTGTGGAACGGTCGTTAAGACACTAACAGCTTACAGACGGTAGGCAATTAAGGTCACAGTTATGAAAACTTAGGACACTAAAGAGGCCTTTCTACTGACCTGCTCATCTGCGTGAACGTGCCTTAGGCATGCTGCAAGGAGGCATGAGGACTGCAGATGTGGCCAGGGCAATAAATTGCAATGTCCGTACTGTGAGACGCCTAAGACAGCGCTACAGGGAGACAGGACAGACAGCTGATCGTCCTCGCAGTGGCAGACCACATGTAACAACACCTGCACAGGATTGGTACATCCGAACATCACACCTGTGGGACAGGTACAGGATGGCAACAACAACTGCCCGAGTTATACCAGGAACGCACAATCCCTCCATCAGTGCTCAGACTTTCCGCAATAGGCTCAGAGAGGCTGGACTGAGGGCTTGTAGGCCTGTTGTAAGGCAGGTCCTCACCAGACATCACCGGCAACAACGTCGCCTATGGGCACAAACCCACCGTCGGGACTGGCAAAAAGTGCTCTTCACTGACGAGTCGCGGTTTTGTCTCACCAGGGGTGATGGTCGGATTCGCGTTTATCGTTTAAGAAATGAGCGTTACACCGAGGCCTGTACTCTGGAGCGGGATCAATTTGGAGGTGGAGGGTCCGTCATGGTCTGGGGCGGTGTGTCACAGCATCATCGGACTGAGCTTGTTGTCATTGCAGGCAATCTCAACGCTGTGCGTTACAGGGAAGACATCCTCCTCCCTCATGTGGTACCCTTTCTGCAGGCTCATCCTGACATGACCCTCCAGCATGACAATGCCACCAGCCATACTGCTCGTTCTGTGCGTGATTTCCTGCAAGACAGGAATGTCAGTGTTCTTCCATTGCTAGCGAAGAGCTCAGATCTCAATCCCATTGGGCACGTCTGGGACCTGTTGGATCGGTGTTATGTGAATTATTTAACAAACTATTTTAGTGTCTCTGTGCGTCTCCCAAAAGGTTGTAAGTCTTTTGGGATTTAAGTAACGGCCAGAGTCCCGGTCTGCATTGTCAGAGATATTTATTCATTGAGAATTCTGCCATCACAATTTCAGAGTCCATCTTTTATACTCATACAAAAAGAAATCCCTTCCCTCTGTAGGCGGGCTGTAGTTTTCCACTCTAAAACTGCTCTACTGACCTTCAGTTCACACACACACACACATGCATACACACATGCATACACACACACACACACACACACATATCCTACTCCCTGCTTTACTCAGTTATTGCCGTTCTCACAATATTCTGCACCATGTTTTCATAACAGTTTCTCCCCTCCCTAAATTGGGAGGCCTCTTTATCTTAGTTTCTCAGTTGTCTTTGTTGTCTGGCCTAACTCTTACTCACATTGCTAAATAGTGGCTCAATGCCATAGCCTTTACTGGTCCTACACTCACACATTTCTAACACATTATACACAGTTTCAGGGTGTAATAATTAGTCATTAATAATTAATCTATCAATCGGAGGGTGAGGGCTAGGGCCATCCCCCCTCAGAAATGTCCGGGAACTTGCAAGTGCCTTGTGGAAGAGTGGGGTAACATCTCACAGCAAGAACTGGCAAATCTGGTGCAGTCCATGAGGAGGAGATGCACCGCAGTACTTAATGTAGCTGGTGGCCACACCAGATACTGACTGTTACTTTTGATTTTGACCCCCCTTTTTTTCAGGGACACATTCCATTTCTGCTAGTCACATGTCTGTGGAACTTGTTCAGTTTATGTCTCAGTTGTTGACTCTTGTTATGTTCATGCAAATATTTACACATGTTAAGTTTGCTGAAAATAAACGCAGTTGACAGTGAGAGGACGTTTTCTTTATATGTATATTCCGTCTATCTAATAACTCTATATTAAATTCCTTTATTTTTATTTAGGGGATTTGTGTGTTTTTTTTGTATTGTTCGCTATTATTAATATCACTACTGCACTGTTGGCGCTAGAAACATCATTTCGCTACACCCACGATAACATCTGCAAAATGTCTATGCGGCCAATAACATTTGAAGGTATGTGTTGATTCAGGAGAACATATATATGACGGGCACTAATTAGCAATATAGGCTAAGTTGCTAGCTTGGCTTTTATAACGTGGAATGTTTAAGCAGACAGAACAGAACAAAAGCAGCACAGAGTGACACCAGCGAAGATGCTGAGACAAACAAAATGGTTAGAGAAGAGGCACAGTTATAGTGGTGAGTTGTCTCCAGTGGTGTTTTTACATATTTGTTTTAAACATGAGCTGGTTAAAAAAGAGGACCATGTCTCGCCAATCACTGGTACAGAAAATGGTTGAGAAATGCTGTACTTTACTGCCAATGTTATGTCAGCACTACTGCCTGTGTGTAGGGTCAGGGTGAAGGGTGCATCAATGGTTGGTGGTATCATGATGGTGGGAGGGATGGTGGTGTACGCAGCGATGTGGATAATGCCAGGGCTGAATTCTTGTCCCAGTCCGCCCCTGTGCATTTATCAGTGCATTTGTGCACACCCTGCAGGCTCTGATGTCTGTGAACGCACGGCTGAGGCAGCTCTACCCCGACAGCGAAGAGCTGTTTGACATCGTCCTGATGACTAATAACCACGCCCAGGTCGGAGTGCGCCTCATCAACAGCATCAACCACTACGGTTCGTGGTCGACACGCTCAGCCATGCCTACTACAGTGCTATAAGCAGAGAAATACAATGACCAGTAATTGGAGTAATTATATTTCTATGGTTATAAGACGCGCTTATTGTGAGCTGCATTTCATTGAATGATGGGTATTTTTGACCAAATATGTTTTTAGTGGTTGTATGCATGTTTTGCATGGATGTTAGTGGCAATCTTTGGCTACCAGCCTGATGATACCATCACATTTGTATGGGGTTCTGATACGTTTTTGTTTTTCACTCTACCTGACAGATTTAACCATTGAGAGGTTCTGTATGACGGGAGGGCAAAGCCCCATTGGCTATCTGAAGGCCTATCTGACCAACCTGTACCTCTCCAAGGATGGAGAGAAAGTCATGGAGGCCATTGAGGAGGGTAGTTGAAAATGCTGCTTTCCTTTGTCCTCTAGGGATTAAACTGGTTTAGGTTAGCATGGATGCTAAATTGGTAACAGAGTAAAAAACTGTAGATGTACATTGTGGTAACACTTTTTATAGGTATGATATAGCCTACATATATGATACCGTTGTAATGCATTTTTAAGACTTATGAGCATGTATAAGCCCCTTTTTTATAATGTCTTTATAAATAGGCATTGCAGCAGCGACCATGTTTGCATCTGGAGATGTGGAGAACAAGCTTTCCGACACACAGCTGAAAGTTGCCTTTGACGGGGATGCTGTCCTCTTCTCTGATGAGTCGGAGATCATCGTGAAACAACACGGCCTGGACACGTTCTTTGAGCATGAGAAGGAGTTTGAGAACAAACCTCTTGCACAGGTGTTCATGAGAGTATATGCCTCCTATTTTATGTTAGCTTTTGACATGATTCCAAATGTTCTTTCTTTGGGTAATACTTTATTTGGAGTCTCCCTATAGAGGGTTATAGATGTTCAACTTACTATCAACAAACTTTTTAACTAACACACCCACTTACCCTAATCCTAGACCTTAACAAGTTGTTGCATATCATCCGTGGCTGTTGATAGTTTGAGCATTTAAAGACCATCTATAATAGGGGACTATCCAAATAAAGTGGAACCCATTGATGTATTTGCTTTAATAAAAAATGTAATAATACTATGCTAACCCTATGTCTCATTCACTCAGGGTCCCTTAAAGTGTTTCCTGGAGGCGCTGGGGAAGCTCCAGAGGAAGTTCTACGCCAAGAACGAGCGTATGACCTGCCCCATTCGTACCTACCTAGTAACATCCCGCAGCGCAGCCAGCTCAGGGGCCCGCGTCCTCAAGACCCTCAGGAGCTGGGGCCTGGAGATCGACGAGGCCCTGTTCCTAGCCGGGGCCCCTAAAGGGCCCCTCCTGCAGAAGATCCGTCCCCACATCTTCTTTGATGACCAGATGTTCCACATCGAGGGGGCCAAGGAGCTGGGTACTATCACGGCACACGTGCCTTATGGGATTGGACAGAAGTACCACAAGGAGAAACTTAGTGAGCAGCCTGCCAAAGACACAAAGTAGTGAGCCTCCTAGGGGTTGGGTAATGTGTCATGCCAAAAAAATAAGTGGGCAAATAAAGTTGAGGGTTGTCGCACGAAAGGGGGGAGGAAGGAGAAGGAAAGGAAGGGAGAAAAAAAGAAAGGGAAAGGAGAAAAGGGGGGGGAGTAGAGAAAAAAGAAACTGGAGATAGTACTAAACCACACCCCCACTACTCTTTACATAACTAGCGCACCTATACTAGACGCTAACTACCTTTTCCCTCTACACCTAGCTGACTCTTCTAGTCACACTATCTCTCATTCTCTTCTGGGTTTTGTTTTGGGTGCTGGATTTTGTAATATAAAAGTACTGCCTATTCATACATAATATACTGTGTTAAAGCATGGAACTATCAGTAGTACATCGTGCTATGACAGGGAGGATATTGACTTACAGGAAACGGGGGATTAAAAGAGGGAGCGCCAACAGTTATATAAACACAAGATGTCAACAGAAAAAACCACGCTAGTATAAGAACCAAGCGGTCGTCGTGAAAAAGGGGGCATTAATAGGCTTGGTATATGAGCAAAAAATACATTACATCCTATTCACAGTTGGTAATTACATAATTATCTAGGGCGTACAGGGTAATGTGTTGTAGGGGGAATATATCAGATGGAGTTCACATTTCGAAATCAAACAAAGAAGCCCACAAGGGGGGTGGGTTATTTCATATGATATCTTTAGAAGATCGGGACAGTGAGTTGGTTCGGGTCACATGTTGCGCCCTGGGACAGAGACCAAGACAGGGGTAACAGCTACCTGTGGAAAGGTACTTACGGACGCACCGCGTGACTCATTCACGGGGTTGGGGGGGGGGGGTTGTCAATTAATTTTTAATATTTTGCTCCGGGGGGGGTAGGGAATAATAGTGTAGAAAAAAGACATCAAAAGATTAATGAAATAACACGTATGGATCATGTAGTAACCAAATACAGGTAGTTAAAACAGAAATCAAAAATAGTTATTTGAGCGTTCTGTCAAAGGGTAGCCAACCCTTTGAGAACCCTGGTGAATGACTGCTGCCCACTGCTTGGCAGTTCAGTCTCAACCACTTCACCTGGAATGACATTTTCCAACATCCCCTGAAAGGAGTTTCCCACAATAACTCGAGGCACTTGTTGGCTGCTTATTCCTTCACTCTGACCTCCGACTCATCCAAACCAGCTCAATTGGTTTAAAGGGGGGGAGGGAGTGGGAGGGGACAAAGAGGGAACAAAGGGAGTGCGGGGGTTTGTGGTGCCAGGTCATCTGGATGAAGCACTCATCACTCTACTTCTGGTAAAAAAAATTTTATCCCTGCAAACAGCCGGAGGTGTGTTGGTCATTGTCCTGTTGACAAACAAATTAGGGTAGTCCCACTAAGCCCAAACCAAAGTGGTGGCACATGAAGGTCCTGATTCACACATCTGCCTGGCTGAACAGTTGATATATGATGTGTCTTTTAGCTTGAACTCTGTAGATGGGTCCATTTAAAGTTTATATCGGCTTCAAGTTTCTGGGAGGCTGGCAACTCAAATAATAACTATCCTCTAAGCCAGAGGGGTAACTCTGTCTTCCATTCATGTGACTGCAGTCCCTCATGAGAGCAAGTTGCATCATAGCAAACTTGGATGGTTTTTGCACTAGCACGTGTGAGAAACGGTTCAAAACGTATCTGTTACACTTTCATATTGACGGTAGACCTTCATGTCTTAAAATAATAATAAAATGGAGCTAAAATCCGTTCTCTTTAAGCTTATTTACGCTGGTCTTGCCATGAATAGTGGAGACTTGGTCTGGGGTTACCAAATAGGGAGTGGCTTCGTCGGTATAGGTACACCGGTTGTCAACAAAAAACACTGATTGGTGCTCAACGTGAGTTAAGAAAGGGGAAAGAATTCCACTATTAAAACTTTTTTAACAGAAGGCACACCGTGTGTTAATTAAAATGGCTTCCAGGTGCTCCTCATGAAGCCTGGTTGAAGGAGAATGCCAAGAGTGAGGGAGGGCTGTCCAAATAGACAAGGCAAAGGGTGGCTATGTATGAAAGAATCTCCAAATAGAAACATATATTTTGATTTTGTTTGTAACACTTTTTTTGTTACTGACATGAGTTCGCGAATCGGTGGTGTTATTATCCCATACATTTGGTGAATACATGTCACCCCCTTTCACCATTATTCGACATGTAGACAGAAATGTACACATCCCCTTGAATTACTCATGTTCTAAAAACTTGATACGACCAGTAAGTATTAACTTTGACAGGTGTAAGGAGGGGAACTCAGCCAAAAACAATAGAGAAGGGGTGATCCGCAGATATGAGTAAAGAGTGCGGTATACTCACTAATAGATAATTGAAATCAGGTGGCAACTGAGGGCTGTGGGTGTTGGATAAGCGAGACAGGAACAAAACTATGGGATAGAACATTTGCGATAGGCCGTCCAATTCCCAGGGGGAGGTTGGCACACCACATGGACACTTAAGGGTAGGATTCTGAGCGCGCCTGGGAGACTGACAGTCAAATAGTCCACCACCATCAACAAAACGACCAAGACTGTGCGAGAGGTGTTTCTCGGTGGAAAAAAGGTGTACGCTCCTCCATGAGATCCAGAACACGTGTAGAGTCATATGACCCCCAGGTGCATTGAAAAGCTGTTCTGATAGTGCGTGGGTGCCCACAACGCGCAAATGTGTGACATTTGTTAGTGTTGTGAATGTTTCCATTAGTTTTGACCTTGTGATATGAATCCGGACGACTGGGCCTGGCAGGTGCTAGACTGGTCGGCCAAGTGCATGCACATGGGGGGAATTGCGGTGGTGGGTAGTCATGCGCTTTGAAATCTTGTTGCCATGACACCTCTAACGTGCCAAGGAGATGTGCATGAGGTGAATGGATAAATGAAAGGGAAGCATTTACAAGGAGACTTCGAGTAGAGTATTACTCAAGTGAATGCGTATGTGGTTTGTCACTAAGCGTAGGCTACCAATACTAAAAATGGCCTTTATTCAGATTAGGTTTAACACTTAATATGCCGTATGTCGCCCTTTGGGTTACTAAGGTGGGGCCATATCAACTTGGGATTTCTAAAATAACAAGGGTGATCTATCAATTCCGGGCCCTGAACTAGGGCCGGAAACACTTACGTGATATTTTAAGGTTAATTAAAATCATACCTGTAGTTATAGGTGTGGTAATACCAAACACATGGTGATACCGCATGACAAGTAACAAATATAGTCCCCTATAGAGAGGAGCAAGGGATAAACACACGACGCGAATTGATGAAGTGGACCCCGTGTGCGTAGATATGTTCGGATTGTTGCCGAATGTCCATACAAAAAAAAAGTCGATACTGAATAAAAATAATCTGAACAAATAAAAGCCTCAACGCCAAATTCTCGGGTAAAAAGACTATAGTCACAAAATATCAGAGGCAATGCTAGGTTAGAACACACGTATCTGCTGTTCCACTTGTAAAAGGTTAACAGCGGTCCGCGATTACGGGCTTACACCATGTTTAAAAGATTGAACAAAAATATACATAATGCGAGAAGGACAAAAATCGTCATTCATTGCACATGTATGTTTTCGTATTTTAATCACTCTAAATTTCTTCTATGTATTTAAGAAGATCAAGTGCTGGTCCTCTTTGTACGAACGTTTAACATGAGAAGTAAAAGGAGAGTATATATCGTAAGTGGCATTGAGCAGTACAGGTTTCAGGAAAGAGGAGAATGAAGTTAGAAAAAGTTTCGAAACATAATGAAAACGAGTATGATATTGGTGTGATGTATGGATATAATATCAACAACTCTCACGCTAAGACATAGGGGCTAGCCTTGTCTACAAAATGGCTGAATTGGGATTTGTTACAACTGAATTATGGATGAGATGGACACATGGACATATGACACAGGGGTTATGAGCGAGGAAGGTGTAGTCGGGGATTTTTAAGTCGTAAACATACGAAAAACAGGTGAGCTATAAAAAATCAATGTAGAAGAGGGGACTCATCTAGCAGAAGCCTGTAGTACAAACTCTAAAGTCGCGATAAAAGTACAAGCCTTGGCTCTCGTCGGTGAAGCCAGAGTTGATCAAGGAGAAAGAGCTCGAGGGGAAAAAAAGGGAAGAATCAGAATCGGTAGTCCATGACACGAATAGAGAAAGCAGGTACGACCAACAAGGTCGAGCAGCTGTACAATGACAATCCCACGTAAGGAGGTAAAATAACCTGGGAAGAATGGTAAAGGGCTACTGAAAGGTATAGACTATCTCCTTGCTGCCTGTGTTCCCAACGTGACTCCCCTTACTACTTTCCTCTCGCATGAGCTGGCCCAGTCTGCAGTTTGCCATGGGATAGGCAATCTAGGAGTAGCTAGTACACTGAGAATGAACTGAGTATGAGCACACTGCTTTGACATTAAGAACCACTATTCCATACAACAAAAGAAGGAATTAGTAGGCCAGCAAAGTACCAAAAGGGGGGCCACTGCGTATAGGTGAGACACACACAACCTCATCCTCAAAGAATCCCCAGCAGCGATATTAGACTGGGTACATGGTTTGTTTGTCACTTGTGTGAAGGTGGGGATCATGGTGTAAATTCTGTAAATTCTCAAACCATTTTACTTTGTAAAATAGGTAATTCACCTCATCCACTACCAATATGTACTTACCTATGCAACAGATGGTTGATTGTGGTTGTTGCTCTACTACTGTAGATGTCTGGGATTGACCTGTATGTGTTTGTGTTTTCCAGAATGAGTTCAAGGCCAAGAACATCAAGAAGAAGCAGAAGGTGAGCATTATAATGTCTGTGGATGAAAACAGAAGGTAAGGGGGGGTCTCAATGATAGGAGATGGATTGGAGCGTGTGGCTATGTGGGGTTTATTTAGGATCATCTTTGAAGAGGTAGGGTTTGCATGAACATTATCTGTTGGTGATAAGTGTGTGTCAGGATGGGATGGGGTTGTTTTGGTGTCTACAGGGATGTC